CCATTCGTATAAGCTATACACGTTATTAATCGGTTTTTGTTCTAAATCACTTCATCTAGACCAAATGTTTATGTTTTAATAAATCATCTCTTGTGTGTGTGTGTGTGTAAAATTATTCTGATGCTGAAAATGGCATTTTTCTTTATGTTTCAATATCACGAAGTGAAGACAAATAGAATTTACTAAAAATAGAATCATTAATTTTGAATTTAATATAAAAATAATAATTTTTATTATTATTATTATTAAAGTAAAAAATCTCCAAATTTTTAATCATAAAGAATAGATATTTTTATTTATCGTGTATCAAATCATTGTTATATTTAATATTAATAGCTACTTCATAGAACAATAATATAGTCAATAATGTAAAAATAGAAACATTGGTGAAATGTAACATGAGATTATTAATAATATTTAAATTGCAAATTATTTGTAATATAATACTAGTGGATTTCATGATAATATCCAAAGAATTATATTATTTAAAAAATTAGTAAATTATTATATTTTTTTATAAAAAAAATTTATTTCGTTTGAAACTCTTTTTTTTTAATTATATAATTAATTGAATTAGTGCGTGTAATTAATATTAGATAATTCTATGTTTACTCGCACAAAAGTCATCTTTTCTTTTGCAAGTCATCATTATTTCAATTAGTGTAAAATATATATGTATAACAATAAGAATAGACCAAGGATCATTTTGTGATAAGAATATATATATATATAGGAAACGTAACATATAAATCCTGATGTTATTTAACTATTGAATTGCACATTATATTAATGCCATATAGCAGAAAAATATCAGTATTTTTAAAAAAAAGTTGTCAAATTAAAAAAATTTTTTTAAATTTATAATATGGTTTTAGTATATAGAAATAAATAAATATATGTAACGTATTCATATACATATATCTTTATACGAAACACATTTAAGTTTGATGATAATGTAAATAGCAAATTATTGTAAAATTTCAAGTTTATTCAGTCTGATTTTGAGAGTCAATTTAATATATATATGAGGAAATCCGTCTGGCGCCAAGTAATTGGAAGAATTTCTATTATCAAGATTCAACTTTGAATAATGCTTCCATTATGATTTTCGTAATTTTCGATGATAATAATAATGTAAACAAAAAGTGAAAATGTATGAAATTTTAGTTGCAAAACCGATTTGTTTAGAAAAATCTCAAATTTGAGCGTAAAAAAAAAATATTATTCCCTTTTGTTTAAACAATCATAATTTATTTCCAATAAAAAAAACAAAAATTAATTTATATACATTACAACAAAGATAAAAATTTTAACAAAAATCTTAATTGATATAATTTTTTTTTTTTTATTATTATAAAAATTTTATCTTGTTGATCAATAAATTATTGACACCAACAAAAATAAATTTCTTTTTTAAATAATCATTGTATTTTCTATTCTTGGGTAAAATTAGAAAAAATTATTTTTAAAATATTTTTACTAAAATTTTATAGGAAAACGGGATTTTTAATTAAAAATTGTATTAAAAATTTTTTTTATTTCTTCTTTGAAATTTCTATATTTTATTTTTTTAATATTCTTTGAACATTTTATAAAAGACATCCTTTATATAAAGGATTTAAGACAATCTTAATCCGATTCAATGATTTTTGTATATTCTTCGCGGAAAATCTGTTTTAAAATCCTTGATATTAAATTTTTATAATATCATCTTTATTTGATTTTAGTTCGAAGATACCATATAAAAAAAATAAATTATTCTTTTGTTTTCACATTTTTTATATTATTGATTCTCCTTTTTGAAAACCTGGACATCATAATATATATATATAGAAAAGTGTGGATATACTTGGGAAATTGTTATCAATATTTTTTCTCTTATCATCTTATCATATATATTTTGTCATAGATGACAATAATGAGCGCGCATTATAATTTTCTATAACATGAATTATTGTCATCAGAATAAATTTAAATAAATAAAAAAGAAATGCTGTATAAAAATAACAAATTTGAAATTGAAAAAAAAAATTTTACAATTAAATGCAACATTAAGGTCATTTTAACAATGAGTTCACAAGTTATATCTTCGCATTTGTATATAGGGGGTCTGATAAACTCTTTGTTTATGTGGAAAATTTCGCCACCCAGAGTAGGAAGTACACATATATATTATAACTAATAATAAGAGAGAATGACTATTGAAATGCATTTATCATGTTTCTGCAATTTAAGATCGTGTTTTTCCATTAGCATATTCGATATGGTGACAGGCACAATGTAAAGATAAAATTAATTATTACTAGAATTCAATATGCATTAAAGGGGAAATACTTTTTCTAATAATAAAGAGAAAAGAAAAAAAAAATACTTTTTAATAATTAATTTTTCTCAATATAATCTATATATTTTGCATTTACATTAAATGCTAAAATGAAATTTTGTTCTATTTTTTAAAATTATTTTTAATTAAAACTAATTATTATATTAAATTAAAATTAATTAAATCATTTATTATATAACCATTATTTTATTTAATTATTATTTTTATAATATATTAAAAAATAATTAGTTTTCTTCGTTATTATTTTTTTTTATTGAAATTTGATTCTAATTTATCTTCATTGGACCAGTAAATTTAATTATGAAAATTGATTCAAATTAAAAGTGTTTCAATATTGAAATATACTTGAAGACTAATTCCATCTGTTTGTAAAAAAGTTAACTTCTTTCATATGATAAGGTAGAAATTTGTTAAAATATTTATCATTAATTAATATCAATTAAATTATTTAAAAATTTTAGTTAAAAATTAATTATTCAATTAAATACCTACTAATTAAACTAATTATTAAGTTAATTAATTATTAACTAAATTAAATATTATTTAAACTAATTATTAATTATTTAATTAAAAATGATTAATTAATTTTAAATTAATATTTATAATTAATTTATAGAAATAATTGAACTTAAACAAAGAGAACTAAAGTTTATCTATAAACTTGTTTGTGGCTATATGGACTTTGCGAATTGGCTAGACGCGCGTTCTCAAGAAGAAAGTCGATCCTGAGATCCAATTTTTGTCTCGAGATCAAGTTTCTTTATAATATTTTATAAGATGATGAAAAGTGGATCTCGTGAGTCGAGCGACTGATACTATTATTATGCCTATCCAGTCATAATGAATAAATATAGTGATAACTTGAGTGATAAAATAAACTTTATTGTAATATAAACTTTTGCCGCACGCGTCCGAATGAATCTTGGGTGGTTGGTCGTAAAACTTTTGATCTTCAATCTGTTAAGTCCAATTGTATAATCAAATAATTTTTTTCTAAACACTTTTTTCATCATTTTATAAATTGACTCAGACTATTTTAATTTAATTTTTTTTTTTTTTTTTTAATAAATATTTTATAATTGCAAATGGAATTTTTTTAAAAATGCAAGATATTTAAAATTTTCTTTTTTTTATGATGATGATGATTTAATAATAAAAACGAAACATTTCCGTATTCTTAATATATTTAAAAAAAAAACAGTTTTCAACTATTGTTTTGAATCAATTTTCTTCATCCTGAGAATTAAAGCATTGAAGCGTTTCAAATTATTTGATTATCTTAGATCTCAACTTCCCACGATATAATTTTTTTTAACTATGTAATTGTACCACACAATTTTATATATATATGTAATATTGAAGAAGAAAAAATCTTATAGGAAATAAGATAATTTTGTAATTTTGAAAAAGATGTTTTAGACACGATTTTGTCAATCTGCACTGCAATAATAGTTTACGTAACATTTTTTCTAAGTGAAAAAAAGAAACCTTTTTTTTTGCAGCAACATAAATATTTTTAATAAAAAAAAAAAAAAATTTCTTTTTTTCTTATAACAATCAAGTAATCACATTTGGATAAAATAAATGTTTTTTTTTTAATTAAACAAAAAAGTTCATCAACTTTTCTCAAAATATATAGGCATTTTACTTGGAAAAATCTCGCATTGTTATAGAGACAATCACGAGGCACATGTGTGCACGCCAAAGTAAATATACTTCATTGAGTAATAAATTTGCATAGGTAATTGCATTCTCCAAGTTGCGATTGTCGCACTAAACTTACTAAACTTGCGTCATTAAAATTCGAGGTCAAACAACGGTAGGGGGACAATTAACAAGATTTACCCCAAAAAGAAAAAAAAAATTAATCTCCTAATTAATCCCCAATTATAAACAAAATCAATTTTTTCCCTATAGTTGGCAAAATTAATTCTCTATTCTAATCATCTTATTCTTCAATTGAAAAATTTATTAATATTAACATTTAAATTAAATAAATATTTAAATTAAACAAATTTTGTTTAAATATAAAAGTTTAATTAATTATTAATAATTTTTTACAATTATTCTAATATAATTCTGTGGGTTCGATAAAAGCTAAAAAAAAAAAAAAAGAGATTCTCATGATCATGAATATTGTGCTAATCGAGCTTATTATTATTTATATGCTGTCACTGCTAGAAAACGTGATATCTTTTAAAATAATTTCTCACCTCTATATGGAAATATGTATCTCACTTTTTGAGTGTTCTATTTAACGATCAAGAGTTATTACTTTTTTATATTTATATCTTTAATAATTTTCAATTCCATTTAAATTAATTCTTCTATTTGGATTTCAAATTTCCTCGCATGTTTAAAGTTTTGTAAATTTTAATTATTTTATTTATAAATGGTAATTTTAGAAATTTAAATTTTTCAGAAAAAAAAATAAAATGAATATATTTGAAAATTTATTTAATTTCTTTTAAGAAATTCTATAGGATAATAATTATAAAATTAACAATAATAATTATATTAATAAAAGTAAAATAATTGAGGTGACAATTTTTATGTAATAAAGATCTTGGATAATGTTTCCAGTTCATAAAACTTAGAGAAATCACGTTAGATAACGGAATTTGCAGTAATTATTCTTTTTTTTTTTTATTGTTACCTTTGTTAACGCCACACTCCCGATCTCGGAAGTTGATTCCATGAAGGACAGTTTTTACAGATGTTCTACGAACAATTGTAGGCGGAAAATCTGGATCATCGATGTCAAATGAAAGACTCTCCTCGAATTCCGTTAAAGTTCCGCCATTCATTTTTGATAACTATAATAAAAATTGTCATTTATTTATTTTATTTTTAATTAGCACAAATTAAATAATTTTATTATTAATTAGCTGTTAAATAATATTTATCGAATAATTGAAAAAGAATTTTAATCAATTTGATATGGAATTATTTTAACAGAAGTGAATTATTATTATTATTATTAATAGAAGTAAAATTTTATAACAGATTAAAAAAATATATATCTGCTAAAAATAAAGCATTGAATGACAATGCATTCATAACGAAAAATTGTCAGAGGTAAAATGAATGCTTGGGGTGTCAAAAGTTAACGTACAACTTCCGGGTGATAGCAATTTTGTTGATTAACATTGATTAAGGTCTCTAGTTAAACGATAAATATTACTATATAATTTTAGAATTTCAGAAATTTAATTTATAATATATAAAACATTTTAAAAAATTAATTTTTTTTAAATAATAAAAAAGAATGTTATATTTACCTTTTAAAGTTGTTATTACATAACAAACGCAAATTATGTAAATTCAAAAATATTTTTTTAAAAAATTTTAACACTTTTTTTGAAAGTTTTTTTTTACACTAAGATTTTTATTTTAAAACACACATGTCATTCTTTACAAACGTTTATGAGAAAAAAAAAACAATAGTTTTTTGTTTCAAATTTTTGTATAAACAAAAAAAAAGTGATCGATTTTTAATTAAATTGAATAATTAATTTGTTTATTTTTTTTCCTTCAGAAAAAAATAATGAAAACAAGCATTCAATAACCACTGAACGATGAATGATTCGTTCGCACGTTGCCTTCATGCTTTTTCTCTTATTTTTCCTCCCTCTTTTCCGCATGCTCTTTTCAAAGTTGTTAGAACGAGAAACTTTAGAGTTTGCGCACAAAGATTTTAATATATAAAATCTAACCTGAAATTACATTAAAATTATTTTTGCGCAAACGCTAGTGCTTTTAAAATTATTTATTCCACCGATTAGAGAAAAAATAACAATTAAAACAATTACTAGCTTTTTCGAATGTCAAATTTTAATTTAATGTTATTATAACTTTAATTTTAATTAATTAAATTATTAATTAATTAGTAACAAGGGAGAATTATTCCTTTTTCTTGAATAAAATTTTTAAAAAAATTAACTTAATTTAATAAGTGATAAATATACAATAAAAAACATCTTCTAATGTAATAAAAAATTATATTTAAATTTTAAAATGTACTTTATAAATTTATAAATATAAGTATAATCCTCACAATTTGTCCATATAATAATAAAATAAGTTTTGGAAAGTCCTTATTCACTTAAATAAATTTTAAACTTTATCGTAAAAAAAAAATGTGAAAATTGGACAACGACGATATAAAAAAAATTTCATGCTATATTAATATAAATAATTTCAAATAACAATTATTTAAATAAAAAAAATTCACTTGAAACATACTAACGTTATACATTTTAACGAAAATATATTTTTTTAATTTAATATCATTTTTCTGGCTTCGTTATTTAAAAAACACTTCGAGTTGAAAATTTTCCTAATTGTTTCCATTAACCTCTTAAAATTGACGATTGAAACCTAGAAAAAAGTTTTAGATTTTTAAATAATATTTATTGATAGACGTAAAAATAATTATCAAATTTTAAATTATACCTAATAATAATTAATTATTTATCGTTAAATTTAGCATTATTCAATAAAGATTTTTTTTTTCTCTAAACTTACGAGGATTAGGAGGAAATCGTGGATTAATGAATCTCGGTGGAAATCTTGCTCCAAATGGTGGACGATTTCTTAGTGGAGGTGGTGGTCCTCGCATTGGTATCATTGGCATCATTACAGGCCTCGGGAAATTCTTTTTTAAAAATAAATTATAGTTTTAGTTTTTGTTAGATAAAATACTTTAATGGTTAATTAATATAAGCTTTAGAAATTTTTGATAAATAATAAAATTGTAGTTTAGCAATAAAAAAAAAAAGAAAATTGAAATTTAGTATCTTACCCCGTAGTAAACTGGAACCGGTATTTGTTCAACATAATGTGGATAACTAGCCATTTCTCTAGATCTACCCTCAGAATACTCTCTTTCATATTGTCGATAACTCTCTCGTCTTTCTCTAGATCTTCCTCGATGTTCTCTGACAGTTTCAATTCTGAAATATTTGATTTAAAAAAATTATTTAGTATTTTCTTCTCTTTATCTATTGAATATTATTGCAATATTTATTATATATTCAGTAGAAAATTATATAAAAATATAGTTGCTGTCTATTTTTAGAAACTTTTTTAACACGTGAAATTTTTTTTTTTTTTGTATTAAACAATTGGAATGGAATTAAAAATGTAAAGAATAATAATAGAACAAAATTTAGACATCTTACCGCGTTAATCGACTCAAGTCTTCGCGTCTTCTCTCCGTCGAGTGAGATTTCTCTCGTGATGATCTCCTTTTAGATGAATAGCTTGACCGGTCACGATAATGCGACGATGATCGAGCCCGATCGTTTGATCTTTCGCGTTTGCCATTTCTTTGGTATCTTCCACGACAATCATTGTCACTGCTATTTCAAATAATTTAGATTTTTTTTAGAATTAAAATACTATATAATTTTAATTATTAAGTTGTTGATTAATTATTAATTCAAATTATTTAAAAAAAAAAACATCAGAAACTTTACCTATCACTTGATTTACTGCGTCGTTGACTTCTTTTACGTTGATTATAAACAGAACGTTCTCTCCTGTAAATGGAAATTAATTTTTAGTAAAAATATTCTTTTTTATTGCTATTGTTAAAAGAAATAATCAGTAATCATATATTGCGTTACATCCTATACATCCAATATGTGTTTTACTTCCAATAAATTTGGAAGATTTTTTTTATCCTTATAAAATAATACTTATTATATATAATTTATAAAAAATAATTTAAAAGAAACTTACCCATTACTTTGTTTTTTTGTTAGATTTGCACTTATTACTAAATACAAAAGCAAAGGAAAAAATCAAAGTAGAAAAAATAGAACAAAATACATACCAAAAATTATTATAAAAGATAGTAAATTGAAAGCCACTTAATTAGAAAATTAAAATTAGAATTTTGCTGAAAGAATTAAAGAAGTTTAAGTGTTTAAATTAATGTTTATGATAATTAGTGTTTTAATTAACAAATTAAAATCATTATAATAGTTAAAAAATTAATAAATGTAAATAAAGTATACAACATTGAAAAGCATATAGAAATGTAATAAAAGAATGGAAAACACACACACACACACACATATATATATATGTATATAGAATATATTCACATTCTATAAATGTTGGATTATTTAGAAATCAATCATTACATTATTTTATAGATAATTTATTATTATCATTGAAAAATAAATAATCCACAATTTTAGAATTAGCAAGATGCCAGCATAAAATAGTGTTATTAAAGAAGCAATGAACACTTATTAAAATTGTTTTAATTAAAATATTCACCTGTCACGTCGTGATAAAAATGTGTCTCGTGGACTTTTATTTCGTTCATCAAATGAATCTAAAGATCGGGAGCGTCTTTTTAGTGAATGATTTTCTTTTCCTAAAAAAAAACAAGAATAAATTTAGATCAACTGGAAAATAATTTAATTTAAAAATTTCGAATATTTTTTCGTTTCTAATTCTGAAACCACTTTTTCCATACTTGATTTTTCGAAATTGATGGTTTTTACTTCTCGATGTTCGGCTTCCTTAGAAAATCTTGACTTATCAAGTGGTCTCAATTCAACACGATCAAAAATTGGTGTAATTCCTTCGCCTAAAATAGAAAAAATAATAAATAATTGAAAAAAATATTTTCTTGTATGATAAAAATATAATAATAATAATAATAATATTGAAAAACTTCATGCACTATATCAAATTATCAGAACACTTCTTCTGTACTCTTCAGGGAGAATTTTTTTATACTTTATTTTATTGAAGTAAAGTAAAAAGTTAAAGTACAAGTAAAAAATATATATATATATGTATATATATATTGTCTTCTGAATGTTTTCTTAGTTGTCTTCTCTGTGATTATATATATAATTTAAATTATTTGTTTTAAAAGAAATGTCTTTTTATTAATTTGTAAATTATTTCAATTTATGTAAAAAAAAATTAGTCTTCAATGTTGATTCCTGAAAATAATGTTATAAATTTTTTTTTTTTTAAATAGTTACATATTATATTACGTACCTGATTATCTTCAAAGTCGAAAACTTTGTTAATCTTGACTGGAGAGAAAAATTTTTGTGACAATTTAGGAATTATCAATTGCTGAAAATTTATTATTAAATACATAGGTACTTCTAACATTTTTATTTGATCAGAAAAAGTTAGAATTAATATGTCTTATCTTTAATAAAAATTTTTCGACTGAGAACCTTTTTTTTAAACCAATATTTTTGAAATATTCTATAATCTTCAATAGTATTAAAAAAATTAAATTAAAAACACTTTTGTAAGATATCTTACAGAATATCTTGCAATACTCTCTGATAATTTATTTATAGAAAAAAATCTTTAAATAAATTTTAACAATAATCTATAAAATGGAATGTTTATTATAAATATTTTAATATTTATATATGTATTGAATACCAAATATTTGTGGAATATTGGAAAAATATTTCCCATATTTTTTCCCATTTAATAACATATTAAACAATATATTTGAAATACTTTGAGATAATATTTTGTACCTTATTTCTTTCAATATTATTTACAAATATATTAAACCATATTTTTGCAGTTACTCTGTGATAAAATAAAATATTTTAAATATATATTTTTTGCAATACTCTGTGATTTTATATACATATATTGAACAACATTTTTGCTATAAAGTTGAACAATAGTTTTTTTTTTCTCTTATGAAAATATGTCTCATCATCAATAAGAATTTTTCGTTTAGCGAATATTCTTTTCATCTATTATAAATTCTATACCTTTTTAGTTTTTTTTTTAGACCGGGAATTTATGATTAAAAATAATTTTTAGAATTTAAAATTTAAATAAATTTTTGAAAAATATCTCATTAATATCAAAAATTTATCTCCATCTGTTATTTAAGGTAAACAAAAGTCTAAAAATAAAATTTATTCTTTGAAAAAAATTTTGATATATCCCGGTCTTATAGTCAACCATCATCTACATTACAGATTTACAATTTACCTTTAACAGTAAATTATGTAAAAACAGTAATTGATTATTTTTTATTGATATTAGCTTTTTTTATAAAATATAGTCAACCTTCATCTACATTACAGATTTACAATTTACCTTTTAACAGTAAATTATGTAAAAACAGTAATTGAATATTTTTTATTGATATTAGCTTTCTTATAAAATAATATTCGTAATTATGTACAAATAACATACCTTAATGAAGAATGTGATTCAGGAGAACTTGTTCGTGATTTTGAAGATGAACGTCTATTTGAATTATTGATTTTCACTGCAAAAAGAAAAAAAAAATTAAATCCAACTCTAGTTAATCTTTTTTTTTAACTACACAACAGAAGTACTTGTCACTAATTAATTATAATAGATTATTATAAATATTTAGAATTGAAAAAAATTTATCTCTTTAAAAATTATGCAATTTGTTGGGAAATTGAAAAAAATATAAAATATAACTGTAACTATGTTACAAACCTATGTTTATGTCTCGAATTGTCCTAGTTTCCTCATTCTTCGGATCTGATGTTTCCGATTGATTTAAATTAAATCTACTGAAAATCGGAATTTTTCCCTCATCTAAAAATTAGAAAAAAAAATGATTAAATTGAACTTAAAAAATTAAACAAATATTATTCTGAAAATAATACATTAAAATAAATATTATGATTTTAATTGAGGATAGATTTAAAAATTACAAAATAAATTTTTATTGTTCTTTTTTTTGACTATATTGTTATTATGTAATTTTTTAAAATTCTCTCAACATTACTATTATTCTTCAATAGATGAGACTCCTTTAACGGTTTAAAATGGAAAGAACGAAAAACAATTTTAATAACTATAAAATGTAAAAGTTAATATTTAAAAATTTTTAATCTCTGCAATATTAATAATATTTTTCTATCTTTTTTTAAAATTAAAAATATACAGAACTTTGTTTATTGTCATAATTTAAGTTTACTTTATTTTTTTTTTTATATTAAAATTGCTTAAAAATTTTGAAAAATGAATAATTCTTTTTTCTCATTTCTCAATAAAAAAATATCTTCAATGTCACTTTGACTTATCTTCATTTAGCGAAAAAACTAAATAGATTTAAATTAAACATAGAAATTAATTTCTTTTTGTTAAATATATTAAAGTTGGAAAATTAAAAAGATTTTCTTTAAAAGCGAAAAAAAATGGTTAAATATTTCTTTGATTTTGGTAAAATTATGAAAAAATCATAAAATTTAAAAAATTTCATATTGTTAATATTTTATAGTATTTAAGTTTGTCAAATTTGCTCAATTTTTTTTCTCATAATTAACTGTTTTTCAAATAATCTTCCATGTTGTGTTGTCGTTCCATACTTGTCTTGAATATGTTGAGTTGTAAGAATAATTGAATTAGAAAAATTACCGTCACGTCGTTTGACTATCACATCTTCTGGATTGTTGATATCTCGTTGTAGATCACTATTTATATCAACGGGACCAGATATATTTCGATGTATATCTACTATTATTTGTTTCAATTCGGCTTCAGTTGGTTTTAAAAATGTACTCGGCCCACGAAACAATGGTTCACTTCCACCTGATGTATCGAACCTAATATAAAATAATAATGTTTGTTTTTTCACAAAAAAATCTTTATAATTTCTCCATAATATGCAAATTAAATCATCAAAAAGAAAATCCACTTTTTTTTAAAAATTTATATTAAAATTAAAATCATGATAATTACTTTTCAGACATAATTGTAGGTTTATAAAAGCTTTTGCTTCTATCTTTGCATCTACTGGTACTTGGACTTGGAGTTCGACTTCGAGGAGAACCATTAGTTCTTTGTTTCTTTAAAAGAGCAGCTCTTTTTAATTCATATTCTAAAATCATTTTTTTCTTGAGAATTTCGTGTTCTCTTTCTCTTTCTTGTTGAAGTAACCAGGCTTCTCTTCGCTTATCTCTTTCTTCTTCTCTTTTCCCGTTCGATCGTCGATCTTCACTTCGTGATCTTCTTGAACGTCTATCTCTCGATGATGAACTCGGTGATCTTCGTCTCATTTTTTTCTTTTCGATTTCTATGATTATGTTTTTCAAAAATTAATATTATTCACATATACTAATTAATATTTTATTAAAAATAATAAATTATCAATACGTTAATATTATTAACTTAAATTTTTATATTTAAGTAATTCAAAATAAATTTTTTCATCAATTTTAAAACTTTGACTTTATAAACAATTGTTTGTAAGTAAAGTTATTTAAATGCTTTACAATCTATTAAAGGATAATTATAATTATTGTAGAAAAACTATATCAAAAAATTATAAGAAAGAAAATAGTTATAGGTTATGAAAAAAAAAGTTGCATTTTTACCTTGTCAACACCAATTATTTAAAATTTCACAAAAACAGTATCAAAAAGTTGTTGAAAATCGAAGCACTTTAATGTTTAAACACCACACTAATTAGCACTTTAACAAACAATATTACTTATGTACATTCTTAAATAATACAGTTTGAAGTGATAAACAACCATTCCAAATGCCTATTAAATCACGAATAGCACGAATCATAGTATCAACATGGGGGGTTTGTTGCAAACCGGAAATGAGTAGTTAATTTTATTTCAAATAGATGGCACTGCAATAGTGGCGCGTAAACACAAATTTCAAAAATTATCATCTCTTTTTATAAAGATAATAAAGCTTTTATAAATTTGTTAAATTTATTTTTATTATCATAACTAATAAATCAAACTAGTAGTAATATTTTAATCAAAAAGAATATTTACATTATTTGTGAAAAAATTAAATGAAAGTTGTATTCAGTTTTGAAAAATGTTTACGATTGAATTCCAACAGATGGCGCATTTTTGAAACGGAAGTTGACTTTTAAATAGCTTTTTAATTGTTTCTATTGTTCAATAATTTTCCAAGTAAAAATCATAGGAAAATCCTCCTCATTAAGCAATATATTCATTTTCGTAATTGATTTTTAATTTTCTTTCAAAAAAAAGTAATTAGTTAATGACGAATAATAAAGTAATTATTATTATTTATAGTACATTCTTAGTATTTATTAGAAATAATGTAATTAAAATTCTAAATTAATTATTAAATTCAGACTAATTAATAATTAACAGACTATCCGGAGAATTTTTTTCAAAAAAAATAAATTTGATTAGATTTTTCCAATAGAACATTTTTTATTTGTGGAAGTCTGAATGTGGACCACCAATTAAATTTGTCTATTTTGTTTGAAAAAATTTTGCCTCGATCGAAGTGTGAATTCTCCTTTAATCAGTTGAAATTTGGAATAAAAACATTGCTGTTGATAACCTATAAAATAAACAATTTTGTTTATTTAAATGATTTATAAATAAACATAACCCTTTATTTATATTACAGTGACAGTGAAAATAGTGAAATTAAGTTTTAAAAATGTCATATCAAAAGACCTGGCAGAAACGTTGTGACGTAAAATATTGCGTTAATACAAATAATTATCTTGTTACATTTTTTCCTACCCCTAAAGATCCAAATTTATTTAAACAATGGCAACAGGCAGTTCAATGTACTGGAACTATTTTACCACAAAATGGTAGAGTTTGTGAGAAACACTTCTGTCCGAAAGATATTATGGAATTTACATGTTTAAAAAAGAGTGAAAGTTCTAACAGTTCAAACAATGTTGATAATGTAAGTAAATAATTAAAATTCTCATTTCATTTTTTATTTTAATTTTTTCTATTAATTTTTAAAATATTTGCATATTACATTAAATATGTTTATTTATTTATTTCATAAATAATAAAATTTATTGTTGACAGGGGTAAATTATAATATTAATATAATTAAAAGCTATAGTTATTGACAAATGAAAAATTTGATTTTAATTTTTTAGGAAAATATTAAGTTACGAGTTCCAATAAATGGAGCAGTTCCATCGAGATTTGACGATGAAATTGCAAAATATTGCAAACAAAATGAAATTATTAATGAAGAATTGACATTGAATTCTGTAATTGTTATTGAACAAAATCGCACAAATGATGAATCATTTGTTCCATGTATAGAATCTAATAAATCGGAAACTTCAATAAATGTTCCTATCTCTGAAGAGAAATCTCTACATTCTGTACCAATAAAGAAAATTGTTCAATCTCTAAATAATACAACAAATTCATCAACGATTTTATCTAAAGTTGATAAAAAATCTACATTTAATAAGGACTATGTGAATTCAGATATATTGAATTCTTCCTTAATTAAATCAAATTCCGAGGAAAATTCTTTATCTCATCAAAAGCAACTTGTTCCACCTGAAGAAAATACAAAACCAAAAATCAACAATAATGAAAAAAGTTGTTTTTTTTAATTATAATTAGATTCTAATGTTAAAAGCATGGTTTTTTTAAAATTAAATTTCAAATTTTCAAAATTAATTGAAAAATTGATTTAGAAAATTCCTCTTGACCAATTTTTATTATTCTGAATTTTTGTTACAGAAAGCAGTATTCAAATAATTAAAGTAAGATCAATGAAAGATACATTTTTTGAGAAAATGTATAAAAGACAAATTGAACCTCGTTTACCGAATAAATCTTGGAATATTCATAATTGTGAAGAACCACAAAAGGGATTGATTTTTGCAGAATTAGCAGAATTAAGTAGTGATTATCGAGTTCCACCAATTTTAAAAAAATCAGTAAGTTAATAAAAAAGTTTTCTGTTTTTTCTTTTCAAATGGTTGGTAAAAATTTGGTTTTTTTTTTTTTAATAGGTATTTTTCGATGAAAATTTTAATGTAAGAATATATTTTTTTGGCAAACTTTTTCCAAATGTTGAATATGATCCACCAAAGGGAATTAATGATGTTGAGGAATTTTTACGACAAATTGATTCATTAAAAATTTGCGAAGGTGGTCCACGTTTAACTGAATTAACAAATTCAAAATTTGCCTTTCGTGACGAAGCAATTTATAAATGGCGACACAATAATTGTGAATTACGTTTAGAAAAAGGACAAGTTTGTAAAAATTGTTTATTACTCTGCAAAACAGTTGGCGAACGAAATATTAATTTATCAACAATATCACATTCATCGACAAAAAGAATTAGAATCGATCCAAATGAGGGGAAAATAATTAAAAATAATACATAAAATAAGATTCTAAAAATAATACATAATGACTGAAAATAGTTAATAATATAATTAATAAAAAAGAGACTATAATTATTGTAACATTATATTATTCGAATAAAAAGAAAATATTTTTGTCTTAATTACAAATTTAATAATCAAATTTTTATTATTTTTCATAAACGTCATTTCCGGGATGTTTTTGAAATTTTGGCCCACTGTATTTTACAAGTTGAACTAAAAAGTTAACCTCAAAATTGTCACGTGTCTATCGTGTTTATAACCTCTCGGATTTTTAACATCTTTTTTATAATTCATGAAATTTGAATAAACAATTTGGGGTTTTTTTTGTAAATTCTTTACAAAATAAAACAAAAAAAAAAAAAAAATGAGTGATACAGTGAAAGTGATGAATAGTGTAAAAGAAGCTTTATTGTCAACGACAAAAATTCAGATTAATCGCATTTTCACCGGAGAATATAATATTGCCTTCAAATTAGAAAATGAAAATATTCAATTTAATTATTCTCTAACAAAAAACCAGCTATTCATTTTATTACGAATGTCATTATTTCATTTATTGCAATTTGTCGAAAATGGCACATTAACTGATGAAAATAATCAAAATTGTCGAATTATCATAATTTCTCTTCTTCACATAATAAATAATGATTTGTCAAATGAAATTGAATTTCTTAAAGAATGTATTAATTCTATTTTTACAAATCCTTTGATATTGAGATATTTTCTTCCCATTTATAGGAAAAAAAAGAATCCTATTGAAGAAATGTTTATGGAAACATTTTATAAAATATGTGAAACTCTTAAGGATTTTAATCAAGATTTTAGAAATATTTTGACAATTCATTTATATAAAGAAAAATTTATCAATTTATTAAAACTAAATGTTGAAAAATGTAAAAATAGAGAAAAAACAAAAGAAATATTAAGAGGAGAATTTTTAAGAATTCTACCATTTAATGATAAGGAAATTGTTGAATTAATTGGAATAATAATGGAATTGCCAAAAGAGAAATTTGTCTCATTAGATAAATTTTCCATTTGGGGAAATACAATTGCAAATTTAATTACATGTTTAGTAGAAAATGAAATTTCTTTTGGTACAATAAATGTGGATATTTTAAAAAAATTATTTACAACTCTAAGTGAATTGAAAAAAATGAAAATTGATACAATTACTTGGGATGAAAGTCTTTTTAAATATCTTCAACGATTTCCTCACAATATTGGAGATATTGACAAGAGTTTGTATTTAAAATTATATTATTTAAATTTTTTCTTTCTATGATTTTTGTTAAAAAAAGAATTATTTTTCTAGGAATATTCATCTCGTTACTTCCAAATGAAATGAGCACAGAATCAATTAAATTGGTTTCACTTCTTATTAATAGAAATGCTGCCGATATTTCGCAATTTTTAAAAAGTGCCAAAAAAGATGAATTCTTATTGAAGAATTGTTGTATTATATTTCCAATATTAGGAAGTAATTTGACGTACAATTGGGATAAACAATTTTTATTGAAATTGTATGAATTGCATAAAAATGAAATTGTCATGTATCTTACGAAAAATTCCACTGAGAATTCTTGGATTGAAAAAAATGTTTCAGCAATTATTTATTTAATTGAATCGACATTTGGTAAAATTTCATTTTATTATTTACATTTTGTATTTTTGTTTTACTGAATTTTAAATTACAATTTATTTTTTAGATTCTCAACTATGCGGGGAAATTTGTAATTCTATTTTGATGAATGGTGATAAACTCGCTAATGTTGATACAGAATATATACAACTTATTGATTGTTGTTTTAAAAAAGCTATGATGCAAAAAGAATTTTTACAAGTATTGATAAATTTATTGGCATTCACATTGAAATTATCGAAAAGTAAAACTAGTTTATTAAAGAATAAAAAGAAATTAGAATTTTTGTGTCGAAAATTATTAACAATAGTCGAGCAATTAAAGAATGTGAATAAAAAATTTGTCTACGATGGATTAAATAAAAATCATTATTGGCCACAATTTATAAGATTTTCTTTGGGCCAATGTTTAAAATTGTCTGAAAATGATGATGATAATTCGTTTGATAATACACTTTTATTTTGTGTTATTAATGCAGCTTGCAGTATTGCTTATGATGACAATAATAATGAAGAATATGTTACAACTATTTTTGGATTAGCAACAAGTCATTCGGAATATGTCGATATTATGTTGAGTTCATCAAACATAAAAAGTAAGCAACTGATTTATGTAATCTCAATTTTTATTTAAAAAAAAACAATTTAATTCTCTTGTTTTGCATTAATTTTTTTTTGTATTTCAGGATATTTAGTAGAATTATTATTGATTCTAATTCGAAAGAATAAAACAATAATGTCGTCAAATCATGTTCCGTTTTATTTATCAGCGTACAATGCTTCTCTCAGTGAATGCGATCAAATTTTATTATTGGTGAGAATAAAAATTCAATATATAATTTATTTTTCAGTTTTCTGATTTTTTTGTGTTTTTAACTTACTTATTATTAATTATTTTTCCCTTTAGATTTTGAAAGAATATGAGAATTCAAAAATTGATTTATCTAAATATCGACCATTTTTATGGGGCAGTGCTGCAGCATCACATTATAGCGTTAAAGCTGATCTCGATAATGCACTTTGGAATCAACCCAAGACTTCTCAAATTTTAGATCTTTTTCTACCGGAAATTGTTAATAATACAATAACAAAGTTTCCTGTTCAGAGATCATTGAAGGTTATTTGTTTTCTTAAGTAAAATATAAAATTTATATTTTTTTTAAATTCGATAAAACATGAATTTTGGTAAAAAAATTTTTTTGTTGTTTTCTAGAATGATTCACTGTGTCCTCCAGAAGATGTTTATGATCCTGTTTTCTATTTGCCAGTTTTATGTGAAGTATTATCAATTCATAATCCAGTTGCTTATCACAGAGTTACTCACAGTGGTGCTTTAGCATTAATGTTAATTGCCGGTTGCAGTGATTGTGAACAAATTCGATTAGCCTCTTTTACTGTTCTCTCGAGATTTTATTCTCATCTGGAAAATCCCGATGTTATGAGGTTCGTTATTTTTTTACTTATTCATTTTTTTTTAGTTATTTATATTTCTATAAAATAATGAAATAATAATAATTATAATTTTTTAAATTAAAAAAATATATATATATATATTTCAAATTTATAGATCAAATGAAAGTCTTTTATGGATTCGTTTTATCGATGCTCTAAGAAATGGAATTGTTGAATTAGGAACACCAATGAATGAAGTTAGATTAAATGGATTTGTTGCAACATTTTTGGCACGCTCTTCAATTGTTGGAACACAACCACTACATCCACTTTATTGGCCTTTGCATAAATTTTTCATGGCTCGACCCGCATTGAAATTAAATAAAGTGCCTGAATTTAAAAAATTATTCTACAGCACTGAAATTGATTATGAAGCACATCGATCATGGATTTTAGAAGTGATTCGCGATGGGTTTCGTGTGGAAAATGATTTACAAATTGCAATTAATAGTTCCGTGTTTAATATTCTATTGAGCTTTTATGTTTCTTCATTATCGGACAAATTAACCAGAGTGAGTAATATTTTATTATTTTCAATTTTATTGAAAAAAAAAACAAAATATAAATTAAAAATATTTTTTATTTTAGAAATTCATCTTGGAAATTATCAATTCAGTTGCAAAATTTCCAAAATCTGCAGTACTTCTTGTTAATTATTATGGAATAATTCCATGGCTCAATACTATAACAGATAGATTGGAATCATCGGATTTGGATTTTGTTCCAATATTAATTAATATAACAAAAAATTTTTTCGACAGTTTTACAAAAAGAAATGTAAAAGATAAGTTTTCTTTAATTATATTTTTAAAATTTTTGCTTACTTTAAAATCAGTCATGACACCAAAAACAATAACAATTTCTTATTTTGTAACTTATATTGATACACTTGAGAAATTATTGTGTTTTAAAGGTATTTATTTAGAGGAAAAACATATGAGAGAATTATTAGAATTAGCTAAGAATTTATTTAATGATGATAATAATATGAGAGAGTGTGAAGATTTATTATTGTATGGCTCGAAATTTGCTTCTAAAGAAATTGAAGATTTTTCGTTAGAAGACAAAAATTTCGTTGCTCGCAAATCGTTTAGAAATTTGATATTAAGACATCATTCGTCAAAAATGATTTCAAATAAAAATAGGAAAGATTAATTTTTTTTTTGAACGAATGAATGACATAATTTAAAATATTGTATAAATTTTATATTAAATATTTTAGTAAAAAAAAAAAAAAATAGAATTTACTAGACGAAAATTCCGAAATGATTTTTCTTTTGTTTTGTTTGCTTGTTTTTTTAAAGGTATAACTTCATTCTCAGTTTAAAATGTCAAATTTTTTCTAATCTCATATTGAGAATTTTTAATTACATTTCTCGGCTTTTAACGTAAATCTTACGTATTTTTATACGTAAAAATGATTTATCTAATCGATATAAATTGACATTTGTCATAAAAATAAACATTTTTAATATGAAAAATTTCAAGTTCTAACTTTTTGAATATAGGATTTTTCAGGAATTATTTTTGTGGAAAAAATTGAATTTTTTATTTGAAAAATGAAAATTTTATTCGGGCAGAGAAAAAATGGTGAGTTGTTTTAAAGAACCATGAAATATTTTTTTTTTTTTATTTGATCATAACTAAAAAATATATATTTTTTTAATTATAATTGTAGGACAAAAAATTTTCACTGGTACTGAAGAATGGGCAATGCATAATAGACTTTATCACATATTGTCCAAAGAGAGTAAAAGAAAAAAAAACTTTATTAAGCAACCAAATCTAATTTCATTAAAATTCATTAAAAAATTAATTGGAGATATAGAAAATTCTCAACCAATTGGAGTTATACAAATTATTGCTTTAAGTAAAGCATTAAATCTTCAAATCCGAATAAAAAATCCAAAAAATAATATTGATTTTAAAATAGGAAAATCTCAAATTTCACCAATTGAAATTGAATATAATGATGGTCATTGGAGTTTAAAGAATGGAAAAAATGTAAATTTTTGTGGTACATGGAAAAATAATTGTTGCTTTGAGGCAATAGCTGGACAAATTAATTTAAGTCCACAGGAGATTTGTAAAAAAACAATAAACGAAATGAGAAATAATGAATATTATTATGCAAGAATTATAGATAAAATAATGCATATAAAAAATTGGCAAATAGTTTTAAATTCAATGATTGGAGGTGCAAGATATATGGGAAATTCTGCTTCTGAGGCAAGAAGAGTTATTGATAATTCACAAAATGGACGATGCTCTCATAATGGATTAAAAGGACATCCTCGAGGTCATGCATCGTATCCAAATGCAAATGGTTCCGATGATTCGGTTGAAAATTATTCTCGAGGAGGATGGAAAACAGGATTTTTAAGTAGAAATGATCAAGATTTTGTTGGAAATTTAGCATTTAATACAAGAGATGCTCAACGTGCAATGGAGCGATTAAATGATGGATCATCAGATGAAGCGGTTCATTTAAGTATTAGAGATTTAGGAAAAGATGATTTGCCAAAAGCTAGTGATTTTAGATATGGAAGAGCTGATGGAAGTCCACGTAATATTTCTAGTTTAACAATTGTTTTAAGACACCACATGGGATCACAAAATGATAGAATGGCAGATGTTTTTATTCATACATTTTATCCACGATTATAATTACTGAAAAATCTCTTATTAATAGCATTTCAATAATTATGCAGCAGATTTTTTTAATTGTCAATTTTTATAATTAACAATATTTAATTAATAGTATTTCAACGATTATTTTTACCGATTTTTTAAATTATAAATTTTTATAATTATTATGAATTATAATAAATAAAGAATCTCGAATTAATATAATTTCAGTGATTTTATTGTTTAAAAATTATTTTAAAAAATTTTTAAGTTCAAAGTATTATAAACTTACCAAATTCACAAAAACAATGTTATTAACATTTACCAAAATTGCAGAATAAGAAATTGATAGAAACAGTTTACAATACTGTTAAAAAAAAACATAAAAAACATTTTAAATAAAAATAAAAAACAGTTATTTTTAAAAATTTAAATAAATATAACTGTCTTTTATTCTGGAGCTATTTTGAGAATACGGCCAATCAAAATTGTTAGAGTTACGTAATAAAAGGTAACTCGGCTCGTAACAGAGCAAGTGCGCAAGCGCTTGAGTTTGAATTTGATTGGCGGAAATAAGCGCTAATTTTTAAATAGTGGAAATTTCAAATTTTACCCGCGCATATCGGTAAGTAAGAGAATGTAACGAGCGACTATATTCTCGCTCGAATAACTTTTCGATATCTCGAATTAACGATACTTACGCGCTAAATAATAAATATTCAAAATATTAAATAATTAATATTTTGTATTCTAGAATTTATTCTCACATAAATTTAGCAATTGAGGAAACTATAAAAAGTTAACTTAATTGTAAAATAATATCTTCACGCTTTAAGTATTTTCAAGTCTTATTCTCAAATCAAAGAATATAAACAGTTCTAAGAAAAGTCATAAATTAAGTAAAATAGCAAAAGGAAATATGATTCTAACTTTCCTTTAATCCCAACCATGAAATAAAAACCCTTAAAGATCATAAAAAATCCACTTGAAAAGGTTGTGGTCCTTTCTCTACAGGACACCAAACACATGTTGACCAGACACACATGTAGACTCGCTAAATCGAGAAAAGTCACGTATTGATCAAACAAAGGATAAAATATTTGTAAAGAAATATTTTATATCAACTAGATTTTTACATTAAAAATATAAATTAAAAATCATCATCTTCTCTATAAAACATTATTAAATATATAATCGTGGTGTGTGTGTGTGTGTTATTTACACAATAACAAGATAATAATTAATTATTACATTAATACGTATGAGTATGTTATATTGTTAATTATAATATTTATAATATAATAAATATTATGTATAAGATATACCTTGAAATATATAATTAGTAAAGTGTATATAGTAAATAAGATACGTAGTGTTGTGCAGTGCAGTGTTGCTGAAAACAGCATAGAATAAGAAAATATAAAGAGCATGCGCAAAGAAGCCACATGGACTCACAGCTGAGCGCTTCTCCACTACTTGTACTTTATGCTTTACGTCAGATCTTATCTTGCCTTCGACTTGTCGAGTTCGCTCCAAGTCAACCTTGTATTTGTCTCTTTCTATATTTAATAAAAGCTTGGGTTTTAATCTAGAAGTCGGAACAATTAATAATTGGTTAATTCGTTATCTAATTATTATTGTTCGTCTTCAAGAGGATTTTCCCTCCGTTTTAACGGAAATTAATTGTGTAATTATTTAAACTTTCCCGGTTCATTTTAATGATTAACACTAAGGCTGAATCCACAAAATAACCAAGTGAAATTGCGCTTGCGCAATTAAATATACAACTTGGCTCGTAACATAAATTGGGGGCTCGTCCGTTCCTTAGTGCGGGATTTTTAAAAAAACTTTTGAACTTTTGAAAAGTTATACATTGTTGTTCTTGATTGCTGTTCATGTTCCTGATTGCTGTTGATGTTTCCGATTGCTGTTCAAGTTCCTGATTACAGTTTTGTGTTGTGTTGTGTCGGGAGTGCATCCTTTAATAGGATAAATTATGGCCAATTTCGAAATTAAGTGCATAAAATTTGGTTGTGTTTAAGTGAAATAAAACAACGTAAAGGTTTGATTATTCTATAAGACTATTAACATTTTATGAACTCTTAAAATATAAGAATAATTTAATCTTTATTCTATATAAAAATTTTTTTTTTTATATAATTATACCGAATATAAGTATACATTATATAAGTAAAACAGTGAGAATATTGTTAAACGTTAGATGCTATTTGTTTATGCAAAGTTGTCCAGATTTTATTAGAAAAATTTTAATACTGTTGGTTTAAATTTCAGGTTATATTACTAATAATTTAAATTTACCAATAAATTATTACAACATGGACAATTTGCATGAACAAGGCGTTGAATATAGAGATGATGATGGTGATATTATTATAGATAATTCTGATGAAAATTTACAATTTAAAGACATAATAGATTATGAAAATGGACTCTTAAATTCTGAACAAAATAAAAATAATGAGCAGGGAATATTGAAAAAATTTTCGCAAAATGATTTTCTCGTATTAGCTAAGGCTATATCCGAACATTTTAATAATAAAGGTATGAGCACACTTTCAGAACCTTCTTCAAGTACAAACTCTCGATCTATCATAGAGGAAAATATTCCTAATGATTCGTTAAATTTAATTAAATTACCAAGTGTATCATTTAGAGATACTGTTGCAATTTTGCCAGAATTTGATGGTGAAAATATTTCCATTTTAAGTTTTCTATCGGAATGTCGTTATGCAGCTCAAAATACCCCGATCGAAAATCATAATATTCTTTTTAGATATATACGTGGAAAATTAAAAGGTATAGCAAAAGAGTATATGGCACATTCTTCTGCTAATACCCTTGAACATTTCTTGTCCGATTTACAAGACGGCTTCTCATTACCCTACGATAACTCGTCAATTTTAATAGAAATCGCGAAATTAAATCAAAATAAAGATGAGTCTATTCATAGCTATATTGCCAAGGCTAGAAAAATTTTATTTTCGTTCACAGAAATATCTCGTAGAGATACGCCTGCTGATTTCTTAAATGCGAAATTATTAGAAAATGATAAATTTTTAACAAAATCATTTTGTAGAGGGCTTCTCCCGGAATGTAGATTGCAAGTTACATTAAGAAACCCAAATAGTTTTCAATTGGCTACAAAATATGCCATAGAAGCTGAGTATGAATTAATTTTTGATCATGAACGCTATGATGATAATAAAAATAATTCAAATCAATCTGAAGATGTTCTTAACATTGAAAATGAATCTGAAAACTTTTGATAGGATTTTTTTTTTTCTCTTTCCTTTTTGTTTAGATTTCAAACATAACATAAACACTTCTTTCAGTTATATAATGTGAATTCAAGGTTACTCAGGTAGAGACATCGTTTGAGAGAGTATGATCACGGTACATAAGGTGTACTAAAAGACAATTGCGCTTATGCATTATCTCTTAGCCTTTGTGATATTAATGGAGAGATGCTGCACAGAATACAAATTACATTACGTTAAATGACGTTTATTCATTATAAATTAATCCATATCCGTAGCATAAGGTGACTAATACACCTGTGCTCTCCTCTTTATCCCTAGACGAACACGAATTGACAATTGAATTGGTGCAGTATTCTCTGATATACATTGGTTGGATGGTGTATGAGAGCAATAAAATTTTGCAAGGAAACGATTTTTTCAAAATGATGATTTTGAAAAGTCGATTATTTGAGAGAATCAAGAGGCCACGGGATTACAGGAGTTAATCTCAAAAATAATTTCTAGACCGTATGGCGAGGTTATTCGTCGGTCTATCGAGGAATCTCGAAAATAATGTTGTTTCTGCTGAAATTATCTATTTCGAAGATCAACAAGTTGGATCGAACGGCGAGTTTGTTCGTCGATCCTTGGGAATTTTAAAATTCTTGAATCAGAGCGAAGGGCGTCTGAAGAGTTATGTGGCAGGATTGTTGAAATTAACAAATAATTAAACATTCAATAAAAATACAAAATCTCCGATGAACAATGTCAAAGTATTCTTGAATTCGAAAATAAATCATTATTAGTTGATTATTTGTAAAGTATACAGAAAATTTTTAAATTTTAATCAAAATAAATAAGTGACAGAATATTTGTCTGTTACTTGTTATACAATATTTTCATTTTAACATTGCTCTTCTCATTTGGGGAGGAGTGAGAGATGAGCAACTGTAGTTTTGCTCAGTGAATATATTATTTTTCCTTTTCTATACATAACAATAGTAATTATACAATGTAAAAATAAAATTACTTTATCTTATAGATGTAATCTTATATATTTAATTTTCTAACGAAAATTTTAATAAGGGGGAAAGTGTAACGAGCGACTATATTCTCGCTCGAATAACTTTTCGATATCTCGAATTAACGATACTTACGCGCTAAATAATAAATATTCAAAATATTAAATAATTAATATTTTGTATTCTAGAATTTATTCTCACATAAATTTAGCAATTGAGGAAACTATAAAAAGTTAACTTAATTGTAAAATAATATCTTCACGCTTTAAGTATTTTCAAGTCTTATTCTCAAATCAAAGAATATAAACAGTTCTAAGAAAAGTCATAAATTAAGTAAAATAGCAAAAGGAAATATGATTCTAACTTTCCTTTAATCCCAACCATGAAATAAAAACCCTTAAAGATCATAAAAAATCCACTTGAAAAAGTTGTGGTCCTTTCTCTACAGGACACCAAACACATGTTGACCAGACACACATGTAGACTCGCTAAATCGAGAAAAGTCACGTATTGATCAAACAAAGGATAAAATATTTGTAAAGAAATATTTTATATCAACTAGATTTTTACATTAAAAATATAAATTAAAAATCATCATCTTCTCTATAAAACATTATTAAATATATAATCGTGGTGTGTGTGTGTGTGTTATTTACACAATAACAAGATAATAATTAATTATTACATTAATACGTATGAGTATGTTATATTGTTAATTATAATATTTATAATATAATAAATATTATGTATAAGATATACCTTGAAATATATAATTAGTAAAGTGTATATAGTAAATAAGATACGTAGTGTTGTGCAGTGCAGTGTTGCTGAAAACAGCATAGAATAAGAAAATATAAAGAGCATGCGCAAAGAAGCCACATGGACTCACAGCTGAGCGCTTCTCCACTACTTGTACTTTATGCTTTACGTCAGATCTTATCTTGCCTTCGACTTGTCGAGTTCGCTCCAAGTCAACCTTGTATTTGTCTCTTTCTATATTTAATAAAAGCTTGGGTTTTAATCTAGAAGTCGGAACAATTAATAATTGGTTAATTCGTTATCTAATTATTATTGTTCGTCTTCAAGAGGATTTTCCCTCCGTTTTAACGGAAATTAATTGTGTAATTATTTAAACTTTCCCGGTTCATTTTAATGATTAACACTAAGGCTGAATCCACAAAATAACCAAGTGAAATTGCGCTTGCGCAATTAAATATACAACTTGGCTCGTAACAAGAACCATAATGTCCATTCAGGTGTGTATCTATATAAATGTATGTTCTATGTGTAGTAAGTGTATTTATTTATAACTAAAAAATATTATTAAAAAAAATATCACAAATTTATTGATTGACAAATTGAATTGAAATAATTAAATTTAAGTTTGTTCTATTTCGAAAAATATACAATTGTAGTTATTGTATTGTGTGGAATATATATAATATATACGTTACTGATTATGGAAAAACAAGAAAACAATTTTCTATTTTAAATAAAAGAAAAAGAAAATAAAAGCAACAATAACTATTAATCAAGTTGGAATGAAATAACAAAGAAAGTAAAGTGCTGTAAAAAATGACAATCGGAAATAATCTTAATTAATAGCTGATAAAATAACCTTAAAGACGAGACAAAATATCTTAACCTTTATTTTATTTATTGCATTTATTGTGATTGACATATAGACTTTCCCAAGATTTTAACACTATTTTTTATAAATTTTTCCAAATATTTCTTTTATAATTTATTAATAGTGATTTATTTGAATCGTCGCATCGATTTTTTTTTACTTCTATTACGCAGTCAAATGACTAAGACGTAATAATTTTTTTCGACAAATTTTTCAACATCAGAACAATGTTAAAGTGCATTATTTATTGGAATAATATTGACAAATTGAAATTTAGAGAACTATTATTAAAATGACGAATAATAATATTAGTGATAAAGAAGTACAGTCTCACGAAACCTTGAAAAATAAATTTGAAGGTTATGTCGTTGGAATCATCATCAATATTAGTGGGCTGTCAAAAAAATATGTGTCAAAACGGAGAAAAATGCATGTGCCTATGGCGTGGTAATGATCGTGTTAATTTTACATTTGAAGATCCACTCAATGGTTGTATTACAAAATTGAGTAATGTTAAGGAACGAATTTTTCTTTCAACATCAACATTTGACTTGTATCATGGAACAATATCTTGCGAAACAAATTCATCGTCTGATTCTATTTTATTCGCGGTTACGTTTAAAAGAGCTCAATTTTATGCTATTAATATTGATGCAAATAGTGAATATTTATTTATAGTTAATGCCGATGGTCATGTATTGAAAGTAAATCCATTGGATTTGAATGTTATACAAACAATTATTCTTAAAGATGAAATTAAATTTTGTTGTCATGGGTATGTATTTTTTTTTTTGGATTATTATTAGTTTTTATATTAACAAAAAAAAAATTTCAGATACGAGCAGGATAATGAGATAACGAAAATAAAATCAATTGCTGTTAATGATGAATCAGCTTTGTTTGTCACAGAAAATGGTCAACTTTGGGCTAGTGGTAATCATCCGGAATTGGAAATAAATTCAATTGAACCAAAGAAAGTGATATTTTTCGAAGGAAGAGTTGTATTTGATTTGGCTTGTGGTTTTAATTTTCATGCTGTGATTGTGAGAAAAATTAATCGCACATTAAAGGAAGATACCGATAGTGATAATGAAATTGATGATCAGGTTTTTGTCAAATCATGTCCACAATGTTTAAATAATGCAATGATTAGTCCAGTTAGTGTTGCATCATCCGATACTTATCCAATGGGTCATCATTGTCAACATTTTAGTGATCGTTCTTCAAATTCATTAAGTGCATTATCAAGTGCAAGTAAAGATGATGATAATTTAGCAAATAATTTTAATGAGATTAATGGAATTTTTGAGACGGAGAAAAAAAATAATGTTATGTTCATTAATACGGAAGCTGCAAAACAATTTTTAACACGACAATTGTCATGGGTTTCTTCCTATGGAAGTGGAAAGGATGAAGTTCAAGTTGATACTACTAGTGATAATCCAACAAATTTGATAAAGCAAAATGTTTCAAATATGGCAAATTTAGTTTATGAAGGCGTTAAAACAGTGGGCGATAAAGTTGCAACTTTATCGAGACACGTGAGTGGAAGTTCTGATGTTAATCAGGAGGATGAAAGTACAATGAAAATTGAGGAAAATAAACGAACACAAAGTTTAATTCATAGTTTAAGATGTGAGGAATTTCCATGGTCATCAAGCGCAGGATCGTCGGAACATGAAATTTCACAACAGGGTTTAAATGAAAGAATTAATTTACTTGTTCGTGAGGGTAATAATTTATTATCAACTGAACTTTGGACATGGGGTGATGTTAAACATGGACAATTGGGAACAGGTGATACTGTAAAACGATCGAGACCTGTTTTAGTTACAAAATTATCACAAACTGGTGTGAAAAAAATTTCCTGTGGTTCTTTTCACAGTGTTGCAATAACACTCGATGGTCGTGTATTTACATGGGGTAGAAATAATTGTAAACAAACGGCAAATGAATGGAATTCATGCCAAAGTGCACCAATGTTATTTAACACGTCAAAAGTTTCTAAATTAGCGAATAATTATCCTGGAAATGAGAGAGCAAAAGATATGTCAGCTGGTACTGAACACACTTTTGTTTTAATGCAACCGGCCTTGTTACTTTTTCTCGGAAGATTTCAATATTCTTACGATGGACTCAAGTGAGTAGATAAATTTAATTTAAATAATTTTCAATAATTGAATTTTAAAAAAAAATGTCAATTTTTTTCAGTAAATCTGATGCGTCGAGTGAATTATGTGGTTTTTTTGATGCATCAAACGTTGAGGATTTTTCATGGAATAATTTAAGTCGTGTTCTTTGTTCTGGACCATTCAGTTGTTGTACAACAACAACAAGTCCATCGCCAAATGAAATATCAGAAGATTTTATAAATGAGCAAATATTTTTAGAAGAATTAATATCATTCTATCAAAATTTAATTAGACCGTTTCAAAAAAAAGGAGCAATAACAGAATCGAATGTTTATGAAACATTATGTCGATGTTATAGAGAATTAATGAATATCACGGCATTAAATGTACAAAGTTTATCTGATTATTATAATTATATGGGAAAAACTTATGATGTGACAATTATTGCAAATGTCGATGAATGTGTGGCAATTTATAAATATTATTTAAATGCAATTTGTGATGTTATATCGCTTGGTGGTTTCACGTATATTGCAAGAATAATTGAATTACCACAGGCAATGCCAAAAAAATTACACGATTTAAAATTACCATCGGGAACGAGAAAAATGAATAATAATGAAAATATAATTGCCAATGCATTACAACATCCATTGTGTAGCCTCAATAGATATAAGACAATGATAAGTAATTTAATAAAATGTAATGGCTCAAAAATGGGTATTGAGAGACTTAAGGAAGCATTGAGTAAATGGGAGAGAATTATTGATGAACAAGAGAAACGACAGAGAGAAGCTGATATTACAAAACAATTTTGGGAAGGATCGGGAAAATTAATTGAATTATTGAGATCGCCTGAAAGGAGATTAATTAGAGAATCGAGAACACATCCAATTGCTGTTTTAAATTCAGGAAGATTTACAACTCATTGGTTTGTTTTATTGACTGATATATTTATTCATATTACTGGAAGTTCTTATGTTTCATATCCATTGCCAACATTATGGGTTGAACCTTTACAAGATTCTGATACACTACAGGTAACTAAAGAGAACATTTTTATTTTATAAATAAAATTCTTCAAAAATTTCTGTTTATTTTAATTTACAATTTTTTTTTTTAGAATGCATTGTCAGTCATAACACCGGAATGTAGTATTACACTTTATGCACCTTCGGCTGTGGCAAAAAACGAATGGTTACAATCGCTTCACGCTGCGATAAATTGTAGTTTACCGAGAGTTATTGGTCATAAACCGCCAATGGCACGAAATAGTAGTTTCACATTTACGAAACATCCAACTTATAAGGATGCTAAATATACTGGTATGATTTGAAATTTAATTTTCTTTTCTTCTTCTATTTTTTTTAATTTAAAAAAAAAATCGAAAAATTAATTTTTATGGGTTTATTGTTATTAAATTTATTTAGTTAATTTCCAAAATTGATTTATTTTCCTTGACGAAAATTGTAAATTTAATTTTATTAATTTTAAGGCCGTTGGTTTAATGGAAAACCAGACACTGATGAATCTTACGGTCAAATGGATTGGCCTGATGGGAGAATGTATAAAGGACAATTTTCCAAAGGTGTTATTAATGGCTATGGCACAATGCACAATCTTACGCAAGGAATTTATCAGGGACAATGGAAGGATGGACAGCAAAATGGCTATGGCACTATGAAGTAAAAAAATAGAATTTTTTATTTAGTTCCCTTTTTTTTGGCAATTATTCTTCAATTTATTTTAATTTTTAACTTATAGATAAAATTGAAACCTTTCAATTTTCAATAATAATTGAATTCGCAATAAATTAATTAATTTAAATTTAAGGTATATGAATGGAGATGTTTATGAAGGATATTTCAAAGACGGAGCTCCTCATGGGCATGGGACGAAAAAAGAAGGTCATTTTATGGCTTCTGCTGCCTCAGTATATATTGGAGAATGGGTATCAGGAGTTAAACAAGGCTATGGCATTATGGATGATATTAAAACGGGTAATAAAGAATGTTCTTATTTTAGTTTTCTTTATTTATTTTTTTTTCATTTTCTTTAAATAAGCATTTTATATTTAATTTTTTCAGGTGAAAAATATCTAGGCTCTTGGAGCAATAATATGAAACATGGCTGTGGATTAATTGTAACTTTAGATGGAATTTATTACGAAGGAGTCTTCGTGCAAGACGTTTTGACGGTAATTTCAATTTTTTTTTTATAAATATTCTTAAAGAATATAATTTATTATAATAAATAATATTTTACAGGGTCATGGTGTGATGGTTTTTGAAGATGGCACACATTATGAAGGAGAATTTAAGTCGGCCGGTATTTTTTGTGGAAAAGGAACTTTAACATTCTTCAGTGGTGATAAATTAGAAGGAAATTTAAGTGGAGCTTGGGATGAAGGCATTAAAGTAAACGCGACATTGCATATCAAAAAAGCTAATGACAACTCACATAATATACCTAAACCAACGTAATATTCTTTTCAAAAATTTATTTTTCTTCTTTCTATATTTTTTTTTAAATTCTATATATTAATATTTTTTCTGTTTTAATAAATTGTTTAATTTTTTTCTTTTCATACAGTTGCTTTGGAAAATTCTTCACACCTTCTGAATTACCAAAATCATTTGGTAAACTTTGTGTGCCTCCTGATCAAAAATGGAAAGCAATATTTCGTCAATGTTATCAACAGCTCGATGTACCTGAACAAGGAATTAAAAGTGCAATTAAATTCAATGAAACACAAAAATTATGGGACAATGTTGCTGTTATTATTTCAAATTCATATCATAAAAAATTGAAATTTAATAAAACAACAACAACAACAAAAGAAACAATTATGAAAAATGAAATAGCAATGGATACATTGTCAAAAATACCTGATTTTGGTCGTGATAAATTGAATTTGACAATTTATAATGAAATTTATCAATATTTAACAATAGCATTTGAAAGTAGTCATCATCCATTGGGAAAATTATTGACGGAACTTACAACAGTTTATACTGCCACTTATGGAGGTGTGAGAGTTCATCCTTTATTAAAAAGTCATGCAGTCAGTGAATTAAGAAGTCTTACTACGAGAATTTATGAAATTATTACATTATTCTTCCCGGCATTGCCAGAAAATGGTGAGGAATGTTTGTCGGTGATTGAAAAACATGATGATGTTAAAGATGAAAATATTTCTTATGATGAAGCGAATGAGGGTGAATTTTCTAAGCCTCAGGAATTAGAGGAAAGGTGAGAGAAAATTTAATAAAAAAAAAAAAATAGAGTCTAATTTTATATATTTTTATTAATTTTGAATTGTAATATTTTCAAATTAATATTTTTTTTCTTTTATATTATAATTTTTTTTTTTAAAGAAATTAATTAATATAAAAATATGATTTTGGAAATAAATTATTTATCTGATTTTCAATTTTAGAAAAGTGAGTATTGACGCAGCAATTTTGCATCCAGTTTTGCTTCCAAGAGTTCATTCGGCGTTATTTTTTCTTTATGCTTTGGATAATAAAAAAGATGACGATGCCTATTGGAAGCGATTAATTAAATGGAATAAGCAACCCGATAGTACATTAACGTCTTTTCTAGGCATTGATCAGTAAGTTGATTAATTTTGTTTTTTAATTTCTCAATAAATGATTAATATTATTAATAATAAAATAAATAAATAATTATATTATGTAGAATATATACTTATTTTTTTCAATATTTTCAGAATATTCGGAGAAAGTAATTCGATTGAACAAGATTCTAAAGAACCTCTGTTTAGTAAAGCAATTGAAACTTTGCAACAATTGAAAACAACATTTACACCTTTGGAAAAATTAAAAGTAGTTCATAATACAGTGAAGCAAGTGGAACAGGTATGAATTTCTTAATTACAATTTCTTTTGACTTCTGTTTTTTAAAAAAATTTTTTTTAATAATAATTTTTTTTTTTTAGGTGGCAAAAGCGAAAATGGGTTCTTCTTATAATCTAATAATGGATGATCTGATTCCTGCTTTTATTTATGTAGTAGTAAGAGCCAGTGTTCTTCAGTTAGGAAGTGAAATCAATTTTATTACTGATTTCATTAAAGATTCTCGTTTGAAGAATGGAAAATTTGATTTTGCATTCACCACTCTCACGGTAAATAAATAATTTTGACTTCATTCAAAAACATATTAATAATTAATTTTCAAGTAGATTTAATTATTATTTTTATTTTTAATTTAATTTATGAATTTTATAATTGATTACAGGGCTCTTATCATTATATTCTCCATGAGAAGATGACAAATGAATGATGTAGAGAAAGTGGAGCTTTGCATCGATTGTGAGAGAGAGAGAGCAAGCAACAATGAACAATATTTTCTTCAAAGCAAAGCCAATAAAATGTGCCAGGATCAGAGTCCAATTCAAGTGTTATATTTTGCATACACTTAAATATTTACTATACTGGTGCGAAAAATTTAACCAATGTTAAGAAAACTATTCTAGTCCCTCATTCATTAATCATCATAAAGAAAACTTTCTTTTTTTTCAAGTGAATCAATCTCTTGAATATATATAATAATTTAAAAAAGAAATTCGTAAAAAATTAATTTTAATTAAATTAATTTAATTCAAGACATACGTAAGTATTTTTTAATTTTTAATTAATTTCTCTTTTTTTCAATAATTAATAATTTTTAAATATTTGACTTATTTTACATTAATTTTATTAAATTCTTTAAATAAATGATGATAAAATCAAAAATTAGAAAAAAAACAATGATATGAACGAAAGAGTGAATGTTACATTCTGATCTTCCCTTTTAATTTTAATTGAGCTCAATCACGTACAAAATACATAATTATATTATAGTACTTGTAGGCTTTTAATCACAATAAGTGTTGAAAATGAAGAGATGTAGTCTATTTAAAAATTCAAAAAGGTAAACGGATTTAATATAAGCGCTGAAAAAAATACAGTATATATTAAATATATAATATTGTGCAATAACGTATTCATTCCATATTTTCATATTCACAAGTTAATCATGATATTAAATTAATAATTACAAAAAAAAAACATTCCGTACATTTGATTAATTCTATTTTAATTGCGGAAATTATTTCAATATACTCCAGTTCAGTTTTATAACTAAATCAGTATTAATTTTCATTATATAAATAAACAATGTTAATAAAAATCTTTAAATGCTGGAATTTATGTAATTTTTCAAATTAATTTAAAAAAAAAAAAATAATCCTAACTCCTTCCATCAATTTTTATTAAAATATTTAATTAATAAAAAAATAAGTATTTATTTTTTGCCATTTAAATATTAATTATATTTTACTTATAGTAAATTATAATTAATATAAATTATAATAATTATTTATTACTATTAATATTAATTATTAATTATTTAAAATAAATTATTTAAAAATAGTCACAAAAAGGAATAATATAATTTATTATTATTATTATTATTATTGGTATAATTTATTAATTTTATTATTTAATATTAAATAATATTATTTATTATTATTTAAGTGTTTATATAAATATCCCTTTTCCTTTTTGAATATTTATATTAATTTTAAATTTTCGCGCGCTATTAGTTTCAAACGATATAGTGAATTTTTTTATTTTAGGTTGGCAGCCCTATGGACGGGCGAGTTTTGGCGGGATTTCTACCGACTTCCGCCCACTTCCCTGCGATTCCCGCCATTCTCCTGCTGTGAGTCATAGTGTCATGGCGTCGCTCCGTGAATTTCTGATATTTTTCGTTAATTTTCGAAAGTTTTTTCTAATGTTCTTTGAAAAAATCTTGATTTATCCTTCAATTAATTCACGGAGCATCGTATTCTTGAAGAAATATTTCAAGATAATCAATAATTAGCTGAAATATGAAGCTGAAGATTCTCGTCTATAGACGTTCTATGGAGTTTGAAGAAACATCCTTTTTTTTTTATCATCGCAATCCTTGGCAATCGTTCAATATTTTATGTCGGAGGGAAGCTGAAATAATAAAAGGTATACAATTTTTCGATAATTTTTCATTCTTTTTATGATTTTAACAATTATTTTTACTTTATTTTGCTGATTTTGCCCATTGTCGTGTATGACAAAGTGGCCATGACCTTGAAAATTTTTTTTTTTATTGTTGATCATTATTGTTGAGTATTTAAGTAATTATTTGCAAGAATATTGAATAATTTTGAAAGGTTTAAGTTTAATATATAGTAATTTTGATCTTTTTTGATGTAATTATACGATTGAGTGAATAACGAAAAGTGAGGTTATGTTTGTCGAATGTATGAAAAAAAGATTTTCTTTACAGAATATTCTCGATAAAAGTAGAACAAGTGTAAGTAAATATCTCATTATCGAGTAACATTTTACATTTTTTTGTTTGATTTGGCGATATTTTTATTTTTTTCCTTTTAATTGTTATATGAATAAAAAAAAACCGTAAATCTACAGTTTGGTAAGTTTTTTCGTTAATTTTTGTTTTGGAAATTCTGAAAAGACTAAAATTTGTAGAATTAATTATTTTATTTTATTAATATCGGAATGTTTACATTTTTCGGATTTCATATTTAAAAATAAAAAATATATTTATTATTTATAATATAAAATATAATAAATAAAATCAAATAATAATTTTTGTTTAATTTTCGAAAAAACCAAAAATTGATTTTTAAAGTATGAATTCGTTTTTCCTATGTTGCAGATTGGTTTTTACAAATTCGAAAAATTCAATCGGATTTGAAATCAATGAATATGAATAATCGAGGAAGTGAATTAAAAATATGAGTACAAAAAAAAATTGACAATCAATTTCAGTCTTCAATTTTACATCTTCTTTTCTATTGCGATGATTTCTTCCAACTCTTCTGGCGCTTGTAGTTTCCATCTTAAATAATGGTAAATTATTTAAAAAATTTTTAAGAAATTAAAAATTTATTTATTAAAATGAAAAAATTATTTTTGTAGAAATTATAAGATTTTTTTTATCTCTAAAATTCGTAAATTTCTGAAAAATTGTGAAAATGTATAATTTAATCTTATTTTTTACGTGACAATGTCTTACTTTGAGGTTTAGGGAGTCAGTCGGAAAAATTAATATAATATAATATAATATAATATAAATCTTATAAAATGAATTTTAATTAATTAAAAAAGACGTCACGCTCAAAATTCTCCGTTCGTGTAATAAATACAAATTCAACTTTAATTTTTCTTTTTGCAGATTTTTCAAGATAAGGTGCGAAATTAAAAAAGAGAATTCTCCAGTTGCAAACTTTTTAGAACTCGGTCTATTTTTACGGTTATTTTTCACATTTTCTGAATGGAAATTTAACTTGAAAGTAGGGATCTCCGAGGGCTATTTAGTTTGAAAGAATCTCTTGGATGCTGAAAATTCCTTATTAAGGTAAATATTTTATTTTATTGGAAAAATATTATTACAAAAAAATTTGGTTTTATTTTTTTTTTTTCTATTTATTTATTAAATAGAAATAAAAATAAAACAGTTTCAATATGTTTTCTTTAATTTAAAATTATTTTTATTTTCAGCGCCATTTAAGAGAAGACGAGAATAGAGCCAATTAAAATTAAAATATCAATTCCTCGAAATTCTTTTATTAACGAAAAGTGACAAATTCGCGAATTTTAAATCGTTTATAGAGACAATTTTAAAAAATTTAGAATCAGTGCGTGTTTTTGTTAGTTAGGAAAAGTGATAGTTTCGCGAATTTTAAACCGTTTGCAGGGAAATTTTAAAAAGTTTAGAATCTGTGCGTGTTTTTAAAATCGTGTGAATTTTCCAATCAGTGTGGCTACTACTTCTAGACAACAAATGGTCAGTCCCTTTTAATAAGTTAATTTATAATTTTTTTATTTTATTATTATTATTATCTCTCTGTTTTTATTTACGTGCCGAACTATTATGCCATTCCCAGAATTGAAACCATTTTTTCTTTTATGATTTACTATTTTTTCTATAAAGTTATAGAAGTTAATTATCTCTCAGATTTGTTTCTATTATTTTTCCAAGTTAAATCGAAAAAGTAGGGAACAACTTTGTTTTTTTTCACAAAATTTTATAATTGTGTTTACATCGTCAAAAACGTTTTTATTATGAGTCGCTTTAAACATTGTATTTTTTCATTATATAAAATTAAGTTCCTTGAGATAATAAGTTGTATAATATAGTACGATAAAACAAAAAGATAATTTTTAATATAAAATTTTCCTCATATTTTAAATGTTTAATATTTTAAAATATTTAAAACAATTTGGAAATAAAAACATAAAACATTTTATAAATTATTATTGACTTAGGAAATATGTTTTTATTTCTAAAAATATATTTTTTTTTTCATTATTATTTTTTAATTATGAAGTAATAGTTTTTTAATTTTGAATTTTTACAAAGGCGAACAATTTTTTTTTCCCCTAAAACACACTGAAAAAAAAATTTACTTGATTCAAATACTCCATTACTTGACTATTATCAAATAAATATTTAGTTGTTTCAAATAATTTTTATTTGAATTAAATAAATTTTATTTGAACCAATAATTTCTGTATTTGGAACAAATACCATTTAATTGACTCAAATAATAATTATTTGATACAAATAATTATTTATTTGATAATATAGTCAAGTAATCGAGTGTTTGAATCAAATAAATTTTTTTTTTTTAGTGCATAAATAATTTTAAAAATATTCATTAAAATATCATTTTTCTTATCATTGAATTAAAATAATAAATATAAAATTGTTTTACGGTTAATGTATTTTTAAATTAGTTTTTCTGGTATTCCTTTAAGAATGGACAATTTTCTGTCCAAAATTTAAAACGTTCTGGAAATATTGGACTGGAAAATTTAATTCTAGGATCTTTGTTATTTCTAATATTTCCAATTTGAAGATACGTGTTATTTGGAGTAGTATATGGTTTCCAAATTTTTGGTTCTTTTAATTTCTTCGACTTTGGTAAACTGAAATAAATTTTTTCTTTGAAAGAATATAATATTGATAATAAAGTGTATCTATTGTTAATAATATATATTTTACCCCTTTATTGCAAAAGACGTCCAAAAATCAATCATTACTTCACTTAAAAATAAATCTGGTTCAGTTAAATTAATGTGTGATAATTCTGGGGAAATAAAATCCATAGGAAATAAATATATGAGTTCATCCATATGATTAACACCAATATTTCTATTGTCACCAGTTGATGTTATTGTTGTACTAAATTCACCCCGATAACCAAACAAATAGGCATAATTTGAATTTTTCATATAAGGCGTTACTTTTTGTAACATTCTTAATGTCGGATAGAGAAAAAATCCATCAGTTATAAAATTTGTTATTGCTCTTAAGTACTAAAAAAAATATAATATATCATTAATATTTTTCTAATAATTAAATATTTACATTTATATTTTTAATTTTTTAAAATACCTTCATTTTATCAAGTTGACTATCGAGAGTGTTGTTGAAATAAAATTTATTAACTGCATCAATAAATCCTTGTTTATCGTTTGTACCAAAATAGTGATTAGCTACAAAGCCAATTAGTGATTTGTGCAAAAGTTTAAGAATATTAAATAGTAAATTATTGGAAAAGAAGTCTAAAATGAAAAAAATTAAATTTTCACAAAAATTTTATAATTTTTTGAAATTTGCATTAAAATTTCAATTTACTGGCAGTAACAAGTAATCCCTCGTGTACATTCACCCCCACAATAAATGGTAAATCCTTCATTTCGTGTATCAAATTTTTTGGATCATCTGTTAAAAATGCATCTTCATTATCATCTTCTTTTGTTGGTGTCCATGTTAATTGTGCCATTTGTGCAATTGCATCAAATATATTTTTTGTTGTATTCAATAATTCGCTAACATTTTTTGTCCTCAAACAATCAATAACAATTTTTGATGTGTTAAAAGAACAATTGACAATTTTTGAAATATTTTTTAAATGATTTACTATGCTACTTCTTTTCTGATAAGCCCACGGACAAAGGGCACTGCCACTTTCTATTATATATTGATGAAAAAGACCTGTCGATTTTCATAAATACCTAGTTTAAAAAATTTGATATTTGTTGATTTTTTTCTTTTTAATATAAAATTATAGTCTTTTTTAATAATTAAATTGTTTTTGTTATTATTTATTTGCATTTACCATTAGTTGCTCTTGATATTGCAAGAAGATTCACGGAAACACCTCCTGAACTTTCGCCAAAAATAGTTACTCGATCTGGATCACCTCCAAATGATTTGATATTCTCCTGAACCCATTTTAAAGCTAAAACTTGATCCTTTAGACCATAATTTCCTGGCGCTATTGAATCACCCGTTGATAAAAATCCCAAAATACCAACTCGATAGTTAATTGTTATTAAAATAATGCTTTTGTCTAGAAAATATCTTGCTGTGTATACATTACTTGATCCCCTTGTAAAATATCCGCCGTGAATCCAAAACATAACTGGTAGCAAATCTTTTTTATTCTATCATATTTTTTTTTAAAATATGAATTTAACAAAAAAATTGAAAATTTTACTTGGAATAGTTAGAAATGTTTTTTATTTTTTTTTTTTAATTTTAATCAAGAAAATGTTTAAACAAAATTTATTAAAAACAGTTTTAATTAATTGTTGAAAATTAGACCATTTTTTTTGACTTCAAACCAAATGTAAAAAAAATCATATTTGATTTTGAGTTATTATTTATAAATTTAGAAAATTTTACTCGACTTGGTTTAGGAATATTTTCTTGATTAAATACTAATGATAAGTAATTTACAAATTGAGATTGAAAATTAAGAAATGGTGTGTAAACATTCAAAAATAAGCAGTCTTCGTTTCCAACTAATGTGTCATTTCTTATTTGCGGGCAAATATTTCCAAATGAATTAGCTGGTCTTATTCCATTCCAATTTTTCGCTGGTTTTGGTATAGAAAATCTGAAATTTTATTATTTATTTCAATTTTACATTGAGAGAATTTTATAGAAAATTATTTTTACCTAAGTTCATCAATTGGTGCTTGTCCATAAGGAATACCAAGAAAAGCTGAATAATTTTTTCCACTTCTTGTTTGTTTATTAGTTCCATTTAATATTCCTTGTTTTATTTGCACTAATGTTTCTGTTTTTATAAATATAATCCTTAAAATTTGTAAATATAACAATTTCGTATAAAAATACATATTCAATTTTAAAATTATAAACAAAATTTATTTTTCATATATATATTTTTTATTTTTTAAATAGAAAACCAAAAAAATCATTTAATGAAATAAATAATAATTATATATATATATATATATATATATATATATAATATATTATTAAAAATTGTGATAAATTCATATGCTTATGAAACAAATGTATGTCATTACTGAACGAAAAAATGTACAAAAGCAGTAATAAAAGGAGAGAATTCAAATACTTGGAAAAATGATAGTTAACAATATCTACAAAGCCTGATTAAAAAAAAATAAAATATAAAAAGTTCGTGTTTTTTTTTTTTTTTTAAACAAAGGCAAGAGTCTTTTGTGCCAACATTTGCGATAAAAAGTATTTACAATAATGATACACAATTTAGGTAAATTTCCAGAAAATTATGTTGTTTTTCTAACAAAGTAAAAGAAATATTTGTTATTATTAAAATTAGGATTTTTTTTTGAAGGAAATAAAAAATATATGGCATTTTTTTTTATCGAATAATAAAAAGTCGTTTAGGCAAAAGCAATAAAAAGTTAATGTGGAAAATTTTCTCTCCAGAAATTCATTCTGTCTGTTAAAAAATTGTTTGTTAGTTTCACTGAAAGCTTTGTATTGTCGTTTTTATCTCCAATTTGAAAATAGGGATTATTTTCGGTATTGTACGGTTTCCATAAATTAGGTGGATCCAAATATTTAGATGTTGGTGCACTAAATTTTTTTGAAAATAAATAATTATTAATATTTTTAAACATTCTTACGTAATATTGAAGCTATTTTGAATTTTCTAAATTTGGTTATTTAATATTTATAAACTGAAAAAAAGGATTATTGATTCAAGAAAATCATGTACTTGTCTGTATTTAATTCATTAATTTTCTTAATGCAAGAAAATTTACTTCAAACTAGTAAAACTTTCTTGGATCAAGAAAATATTTAATCGAATATGATCAAGTAAATGGGATTTCTTGATTCAATATTATTTTTTTTTCCAATATATAAAATAAAAAATATCGAATAGTTTTACCCATTAGTTGTAAATGACGTCCACAAATCAATCATTAAATTACTCATCTTTCTACTATTGTTTGATAAATCTGTATCTCTTCTGTTGACTATAAAATATGTAATTGGAAATAAATATAATAAATCATCACCATGACTAGCTCCAAAATTATCATTTGAAAAAAAATTAGAAAAAGTGGAAGTTTCACCGCGATATATAAAATGATAAAAATAGGTGGGATTTTTTATATTAGGTGTAATTTGATCCAACATTTTTATTTCTGGATATTGAAAACTACCATCTGAAAATATTTTCTCACAGATTTCCCAATCCTTAAAAATATAATAAATTTTTGGAAAATTATTGAATTTTTAAACAATAAGATTATTATTATTTTATCATTTACCTTTTTCATAATTTCATGTGAGTTGTTAAAATAAAACTTATCTAAATTAGCTGGGAAGTTTTTTTTAGCGTTTCTCATATAAAAAGCATCATCTATAAATAATTTTTTCATAAATTTCCTTAGACGATTGTAAAGAGGATCAATTGCGTAAAATACTGAAAGATATAAATTAAATTTTAATTGTTTTTTGTAGAAATTTGTCAAAAAAATAAACTTAAATCGAACGTATTTTTAATTTAAAAATAGAAGAATGACGTGTTTTTATATATTATAAATAGATATTTTTCTTATCTAGCAGAATTGCTTGTTTACCATTTGTAATAAATGCACCTTCGTTTTCTGTAACACCACTAATGAATGGCAAATCTTTCATTTGATTCATTAAATTTTCCGGATAATCGGTTAAAAATGCATCCTTATTGTTAGGTTCGTTTGTTGGTACCCAAGGAGCTTGAAAAATTGTAATTACCAAACCGAGGATATTACTCCAAAATAATAAAGCATTTGCATCTGTTTCACGTAAACAGTTTATTAGACTTTTTGTCGTTTTTGTTGGACACATGGAATATTTAGCAATTTTTTTCACTGATTCAAAAATATCATTTTTATCTCGAAAGGCCCATCCAGCTAGTGCGGTACCACTTTGTAAAATATATTGATGAAAAAGACCTATAAAATGTTTTAAATAAATTTTGCATAAAGAAAAATAAAAAATTCTTTTTTACCGTTGCTTGCTTTTGAAAGAACATGTAAATGTACACTAGAACCTCCAGCACTATGTCCAACTAAAGTCACTCGATTTTTATCACCACCAAAAGCTTGAATATTTTTTTGAATCCATTTTAATGCTAAAACTTGATCTTTCATGCCAAAATTTCCTGGCGCTGTAGAATCAGCAGTTGATAAAAATCCAAAAATTCCCAATCGATAATTAATAGTTACAAAAATTACATTCTTATCCATAATGTAATTTGCTTTATAATCATTGCCAGATCCTAAAAAATATAGACCTCCGTGTATAAATACCATGATTGGTAATAAAGTAGTATTTAAATTCTAGAAAAAAAATTCTTTTTTAAATTTCATTAATTTTGAAATTGTAGGATAATTTTGGATGACATTAAAAAAAAAAAAAAAAATTGGAATCGTTAAAATAAAGTTGTTACCATTCTTTTTTGAAATTTATGAAATGGAGTATAGACGTTTAAAAATAAACAATCTTCTTTTCCAAATGGTATTCCAAAAAAGGTGTGTATACATCTGTTGCCTAAAAATGTTGCTTGTCGTATTCCCTTCCATTTATCTGCTGGTAAAGGATTTCTAAACCTAATTTTTTTTTTTATATTTAGTTTATCGGAAAATGTGTAATTTTAAAGTTCTTTGAAAATTTTTCTAAATACACTAAAAAAATTTATTTGATTTAAATAATCGACTATTGTTAAATAAATATTTACCAACCAAATAATTTTTGAAACCAAGTAATTAAATTAAATAAACTATTTAAACCAATAATTTCTGCATTTGAAATAAATGCCATTTAATTGACCCAAAAATTATTTGGTTCAAGTAAATATTTATTTGATAATAGTCAAGTAATCGATTATTTGTATTAAATAATTTTTTTTTTTAATTAGTACAGGTTGAAAATTACCTTAAATCTCCGACTGGTGGTTTTCCATAAGGTATGCCAAGAAATGCGGAATAATTTCTCCCATTTCTGGACTTTTCTATTGTCCCTCGAAGTATTCCTTGTGATGTTTGTACTATTATTTCAGAATTTAACACTATTGTGCTTATTAAATAAATCAATATTGTAATTAATTGTTTTGACATTTTGTAAGGGAATATTTTATAAAAGTTAAATTTTTTTAAAAACAAATTGTCAATCACTATTACTAAATAAGACAATTTAATTATTTGAAAAATTAATAAAGAATTAATTCCTTCAATAGAATTGCAATTCAAAAGTAGTATGTCTCTTTCGCATTGATTAAGCTTGATTTCGAACTGAATATGCAATTTATTTCCTCTTGTAATACAAAGTATGCTGTTAATTATTCTTTTCTATTTTTATGTACTTTGATTCAGTTAGTGTAGATTATGCAACGATTATTAATCTTGCACACAGGATTTTTTTTTAAAAAAAAGTTGAACATTATTTCTAATTCTTAGAGTCTAATTAAATTTTTTATAAGTAATCCTTCCGATGCTTAGAAAAATTAATTTTCTCTCAGTTTTTATAAATAAGAAATAATAAAATTATAACTTTCAAAAGCACCAATTTTAAATCCCCGCGACGCATTGTTGATGTTTTAAAGAAAAATCGCCAAGTATAATTTAAAAAACTTATTTAAATTTAAAGATTCTATTGAAATTAATTAATTTTACAATTAATTTTTTACAATTAATTGTGTACTATGATATACAATTATATTAGTTATAGTGGAAAATTTTCTCGCCAAAAATCCATTCTTTTTTTTAAAAAGTTACTTGATAATTTTACCGAAGGCTTCATATTGTCGTTTTCATCTCCAAATTGAAAATAGGGATTATTTTCTGTATTGTATGGTTTCCATAAATTTGGCGGATCCAAATATTCAGATGTCGGTTGTCTAAATTTTTGCAAAAAATAAATATCATATATTACATTGAATTCTATAATCATCACGATTACGAAAATCATAATTTGTAATAGTGTTTGATTTTATATCTTCAGAAAAAAAATTTAATTTTTTTTCAATAATCAATTTAATTTAATTTATTTCTAAAATTTTATCAAATAATTATACCCGTTAGTTGCAAATGACGTCCACAAGTCAACCATTAATTTACTTATAATTCTATCATTATCAGTAAAATGTGCATCTGTTCTGTTGATTATAAAATACATCAATGGAAATAAATATATCAAATCACCAGCATGACCAGCGCCAAAATTTTCCTTTGATAATAAATTTGAAAGAACAGAGATTTCCCCACGATAGATAAAATGATAAAAATAGTTTGGATTTGTCATATTAGGTGCAATTTGATCCAAAATCCTCATTGCTGGATATTGAAAAAGACTATCGGATAGAATATTCGTATAGGTATCTAAGTCCTTGAAAATAATGCAAATTAGAAAAATTGGACCAAATAATTTTTACTCGAATTAAATAAACTTTATCTGAAGCAATAATTAAATGGTACTTTTTAGAAATACAGAAATTATTGCTTCAAATAAAGTATATTTAATTTAAATAAAAATTTATTTGGTTCTAGTAAATATTTATTTGACAAATAGTCAAGTAACTGATTATTTGAATCAAAAAAAAATTTTTTTTTAGTGTATTCTTTTATTTACCTGTTGCTTTTTGATAAATTTATGTGAGTTATTAAAATAAAATTTATCTAAATTAGCTGGGAAATTTTTTTTAGCATTTCGAATATAAAAAGCATCGTCGATAAATAATTTCTTCATAAATTTCCTTAAAATTTTGTAGAGAGGATCGATTGTATAGAATACTAAATGGAATTAAATTATTAATTAGTTGTTTGTTTTTTTACAAAAATTTTATTTCTTATCTAGAGTAATTACTTGTATACCATTTGTAATTAATGATCCCTCATTACCGGCAACGCCGCTAATAAATGGCAAATCTTTCATTTGATTCATTAAATTTTGTGGATTATCTGTTAAAAATGCATCCACATGATCAGGTTCATTTGTTGGTACCCAAGCTGCTTCTACAATTCGAATTACCAATCCAACTAGATTACTTAAAAATAGCAAATTTTGTGCATTTTTTTTACGCAAACAATTTATGAGACTTTTTGTCGTTCTTATTGGACACATGCTAAATATAGCGATTTTTTTTACAGTTTTCAAAATCTCACTACTTTCTCGATAGGCCCAACCAGCTGTTGCTGTACCACTTTGCATAATATATTGATGAAAAAGACCTGAAATTAATCCTTTAAATAACATGAAAAATCATTATAAAAGTTCCTTAAAGATTTGACAATTGTTTTTTTTTTTACCATTGCTTGCTTTGGAAAGTGTATGAAAATGAACACAAGCACTTCCAGAACTTAAACCAAAAAGTGTCACTCGATTTGGATCACCACCAAAGGCTTGAATATTTTTTTGAACCCATTTTAATGCTAAAACTTGATCTTTTAGTCCAAAATTTCCTGGCGCTACAGAATCAGAAGTTGATAAAAATCCAAAAATTCCCAATCTATAATTAATTGTTACAAAAATAATATCCTTGTCCAAAATGTAATTGGCTTTGTAACTATTGCCAGATCCAAAAAAGAAGAAACCACCATGAATATATACCATCACTGGTAATAAATTGACATTCGATGTATTTATATTCTATTAGAAAAAATTTTGTTTCTTTACTATCGTCTTTGGAAATTTAAAAAATATTTTTTTAATGACACAATTAAATAGTGTTACCATAGTTTCTTGAAATTTAAGAAATGGAGTATAGACGTTTAAGAATAAACAATCTTCTTTTCCAAATGGTATTCCAAATAAGGTGTGTATACATGTGTTGCCTAAAAATGTTGCTTGTCGTATTCCCTTCCATTTATCTGCTGGTATAGGATTTCTAAACCTAATTTTTTTTTATATTTAGTTTGTAGGCAAATGTAATTTTAAAGTTCTTTGAAAATTTTTTTAAATACACTAAAAAAATTTATTTGATTACAACCAAATAATTTTTGAAACTAAGTAATCAAATTAAATAAACTATTTAAACCAATAATTTCTGCATTTGAAATAAATGTTATTTAATTGACTCAAAAATTATTTGGTTCAAGTAAATATTTATTTGATAATAGTCAAGTAATCGATTATTTGTATTAAATAATTTTTTTTTTAATTAGTACAAGTTGAAAATTACCTTAAATCTCCGACTGGTGGTTTTCCATAAGGTATGCCAAGAAATGCGGAATAATTTCTCCCATTTCTGGACTCTTCTATTTTTCCTCGAAGTATTCCTTGTGATGTTTGTACTAATTGTTCTGAATTTAACATTTGCGTGCTTATCAAATAAAGCAATAATCTAATTAGCTGTTTAGCCATTTTTTGAGGAAGTATTTTTTTCGAAAACAAACTTTTTGTTTTGGTTTTTTTTTGCTTTTTTTTAAATTAAATTTATACACTGTATCACTGAATAAGACTTAATTGTTTAAAAATTTGAAAATTATTCGTTAAAGTCGAAAAGTAGTATTTCTTTTTGCGGTATTTTAGCTTAATATCGAGATGATTATACTGTTCTTGTGATACAATGAATGTTATTAATTATACATATATTTTTAGTTGGGTTTTCCTTGCGTAGGTAGATTACGCAACGGTCATAAAATTTGCTTATAGAATATTTATTCTATATTAAAAATATGATTATGTATATGTGTTTTTTTTTTAAATTCATTAATTTCTTTTCATGTTTAAATAAATTAAGTAAACCATATTAATTAAATAATTAATTTATTTAGTTGTTTATAATATGGACAATTTTTTAAAATATTTTTTTTTTAAATAGATTTAGTTAATATTATCACTAATCCCATTAGATGAAGTGAAAAATCATAGTTCAGTATCGAAGATAAATATTAATTAGAAAACTCATAAATGGTAAATAAATTAAGATCAAAGGTTATACATGCAAATAAATAGAAGAAAACATAGTTGAGATTTTTTTAACTTGAAATATTTAAGCGCTTAACATAGATTTCGGGTTTATATAAAAACATTCGATAATTCAATACCACTCGGTCGAGATTTATATAAGTGTTGAGGTCATTCTTTCCAAGTCAATTAATAAAAGAAAAAAGTAACTTTTCTTTTTTCCTCATCGAAAACTAAATCTAATTGTTCATGTTTAAAAATTAAAATAAATTATTAAATTGTTTTAAAATTACATATATAAAATTATAAAAATAACTTATATAATAATAAATTTTTTAGTAATAGTATCTTTTTTTTCTTTTATTAATTGACTCGGTAAGAATGATCTCAACACCTATATTTATAAGAATGTTGTCAATTTAGTGGCAAGTTGTTTGAACAGTTTAATTCTCTTAGAGTGGAAAATTATCTCTCCAGAAATTCATTCTTTCCGTTGAAAAGTTGTTTGATAGTTTTACCAATGGGTTCATATTGTCGTTTTCATCACCAATTTGAAGAAAGTGATTGTTTTTAGTATTATATGGTTTCCATAAATCAGGTGGATTCAAAAATTCAGACGTTGGTACACTAGTTTAAAAAAAAAGAAGTAATTATATTGAATTATTTTTCAAAATCGTAAACCGAGGGGGAATTTACTAGTTAAAAACGTGTACACTTGACTACCGGTATTACACCTCATATTATCCTTATTACTAAGTTATTACACGTTATTACAGAGTATTACACATTATTACAGAGATATTACAGATTTTTTTGCGTTATTACAACACCGTAATAACGCATTATTACACGGTATTACACGTTATTACACAAGTATTACAGGAAGAGTGTACACTTGACTACCTGAGTAAATTTCCCCTCGTCGTAAACATGAAATAAATTTTTTACCCATTAGCAGCGAACGAGGTCCATAGATCAATAAATAATTTACTTATATTTCTATCAGTATTGGAAAAATCTGCATCTGTTCTTTTTAATATAAAATATGTATAAGGAAATAAATATATCAATTCACTGCCATGACCAACACCTAAATTAATTTTAGAAATTGAACTAGAAAAATTCGGAACATCACCACGATATCCATAATTAAAAAAATAGGTTGGATTTTCCATTTTTGGTGTAATTTGATCCAACATTCTTATTTCTGGATATATAAAAAGACCGTCTGAAAGTATGTCTGTATAGATGTCTAAATCCTTAAAAAAAAAAAATTTTTAGAAAATTAGATTTTTTTGAAAATTTATTTTTTCATTTACCTTTCGTTTCTCGGTCAAATGTTTTGAGTTATTAAAATAAAATTGATATAAATTTTCTGGAAAGCTTTTTTTAGCATTTCTAATATAAATAGCATCATCGATAAATAATTTTTTCATAAATTTTTTTAGAATATTATGCAGAGGTTTGATTGTGTAAAAATCTAAAAGATAAATTTTTTAATAGAATTGTACAAAAAAAAATTAATTAATTTTACATTCTTTTAAGTTTAAAATATATAAAAATTTATTTACAATTTGTAAAAAAGAGTGCCTCGTTTTCGGCAACGCCACTAATAAAAGGCATATCTTTCATTTGGTCCATTAAATTTTCTGGATTATCGGTTAAAAATGCATCCTCATTGTTAAGTTCGTTTGTTGGTACCCAAGCAAGTTCTGCATTTCGCACAATCAATCCAACTATATTACTTAAAAATAGTAAATTTTGTGCATCCGTTTTTCGTAAACAATTCATTAGACTTTCAGTAGATTCTGTTGGACATGAGGCAAATTTAGCAATTTTTTTAACGGTTTTTAAAATTTCATTTCTATCTCGATACGCCCAGGAACTTAATGCAGTACCACTATGTAAAATATATTGATGAAAGAGATCTGTAAAATTCATAAAATTCAATTTTTAAATTTGAATTATTTATTAGTTTTAAAATCGAATTTTCATTTTACCATCGCTTGCTTTGGAAAGTGTATGAAAATGAACACAAACACTTCCAGAACTTATACCAAATAGTGTCACTCGATTTTTATCACCACCAAATGCTTGAATATTTTCTTGAATCCATTTTAATGCTAAAACTTGATCTTTTAGTCCAAAATTGCCTGGCGCTACAGAATCAGCAGTTGATAGAAATCCAAAAATTCCTTGTCGATAATTGAGAGTTACGAAAATTATATCTTTGTCCAAAAAATAAGTTGCATTGTAATTATTGCTTCCTCCAAAAAAGAAAATACCTCCATGAATAAATACCATAACTGGTAATAAAGTATCATTTATTTTCTAAAATAAATTTAATTTTTTTTTTTATTTTTAAAAAACCAAACTTTATATATATATATATATATTTTTGAAAAAAAAGTGAATACCATTTTTTCTTGAAATTCAAGAAACGGTGAATAAACATTTAAAAATAGACAATCTTCTTTTCCAAATGTCGCTATTCCAAATAAGGTGTGAATACATTCATTTCCAAAAGATTTGGCTTCACGTATTCCATTCCATTTATTTGCTGGTAGAGGATTTTTGAATCTAATTTTTGTTTAGTTTAAATATATATAAAAATTTTAATTTTAAATTCATTTTGAATTTATTTCTAGATTTTCTTTTTAAATTTAATTACCTTAAATCCCCAACTGGAGGTTTTCCATATGGAATACCAAGAAAAGCGGAATAATTTCTCCCATTTCTAGATTTTTCTATTATACCACTAAGTATTCCTTGTGATATTTGTACCAATGGTTCTGAATTTAAAACAGGTGCTGTTATCAAATAAAGTAATAATACAATTAATTGATTTGACATTTTAAAAAAGTTGATTTAAATATTTTATAATATTATTTTGATGATTATTTATTTAAGATCGCGAGTCAACTATTGATTTATCACTAATTGTAAGAAAAATAAGGAAAATTTTAAATTTTCTATTCCTTGTTGTTTTTTAATAAATTCAATACTAATGAAGTTCTAAGATCAAAGTCGATTAGTTTTTTTTTTTTTTTGAAAATGTTAGTATTATATTGTTTACAAGATTAATTATAAATATGCGGAAGTATATATTCGTTTTTCTAAACACTTGCATAGAAATTGTAACTATTAAAATTAGCATATTTCTTAGTCATTGAGACAGTGATAAATAATATTCATATTTTTATGACTTCAATGGTAAAAAAAAACCTTTAGCCTGTGCAAAAAAATCATTAAACTGTTTTTAATTAAGTTCTTAATTTTTTTTTTATTTTCACTTCTTGTATAACTTAATTTTTTTTAACGTAAATGGAAGTCATTGTAAATATTAATTAAAAATATCAAAAATAGTTAATACGAATTTATTTATTAATATACATTTAATAATTATTTAATAGTAAATAATTTGACGGTATTTGTAAAATTTAGAAATAGAAGGTAATTTTTAAAATTACAATTTTATATAGGAGCATTTTCTCTCCAAAAATTGACCCTATCTGTAAAATAATTATTAGACATTGTTACAGTTGGATCAGTATTCTTTCTAATGTTTCCAATTTGAATATGAGAAGTTGTATTAGTTGAATATTGTTCCCATAAATTAGAATTAGATAATTCGCTAGATGTTGGTTTTCTGGAAAAATGATGAAAAATTAGCATATTCTATTTTATTCTCAAAATAAATGAAAATTCATAAAAATTAAGATTTCAATTATAATTATTAATTACCCATTTGTAGCAAATGATGTCCAAAAGTCCACCATTATTTTGCTAATTTTTTCATCGATTTGTGTGAAATTTGCATTTGATGTTAGGTAAGATCCATATGTAACTGAAAATAAATATAAAAGTTCATCGGCATGATTAACTCCATAATTTTGTTTATCGCCAGTTACTTCCGTTAAACTTAGGGCACCTCGATATCCGAATGAGTAAAAATAATTTGAATTTCTCATTTTTGGAGTTACTTTTTCTAACATTCTTACTTGTGGATAGAAATAATTTGCATCACTGAAAATTTTTGTCATTCCATTCAAGAACTGTAATTAAAATTTTTTATCAACCTTTTTTTTTTTACCTTACAATTGTTGTGTTTAATTAATAAAATATACCTCAATTTTACTGCTGGTGTTAAATTTGCTATTAAAATAAAATTTGTCAATTTTCGAAAAGAGAATATCTAAATCTTGTTTATAGTAGTCTGAGAAACTTTTTACTAATGTTCTTATATTTGATCGTTCCATTTGATAAATAACTTCATTTGAGTATCCCCCTAGAATGAAAAACTATTGGTAAAAATAATAATGATTTAAATTAAACGAAGATTTAAATCATTTACCACTTGTTAGTGCTAGACCTTCATCGGTAACAGTTCCACTCATAAATGGTAAATCCTTCATTCTATTATTGTTGACACTGTTTAATGGAATTTCTGTTAAAAATGCACCAGCTGAATTAGATTCAACTGTTGGAGTCCATATAAAATGACCGTATTTTATTATTGTCTGAACCGTTGTACTGGTTTTGACTAAATCATCTGAATTCACATTTCGTAGACAATTAATGATTTTTCGCGATTTATCGAGCGGACAATTGAATAATTTTGCTAAATCCCTAACGTGATTTTGAAAATCTTGTTTCTTTTGATATGCACCTGGTCCAACTATGGTTCCACTTTGAATTATGTATTTTTGAAACAAACCTAAATTATTGGTTCAAATACAGTTTATTTAATTTAAATAAAATTTATTTGGAATAAAAATTAAGTAAATTTTTATTTAATAATAGTCAAGTAATCGATTATTTGAATCAAATAAATTTTATTTTCATTGTAGAAATTGATTTAGATTTTTACCTCTACTGGCTCTAGAAACTGAATGCAAATTAACTGAAACACCTCCAGCACTCTGTCCAAATATAGTCACTTTGTCACGATCACCTCCAAATGATCTAATATTTTTACGAATCCATCGTAAAGCTTCAACTTGATCTTTGAGGCCAAAATTTCCTGATGCTACTGCATCACCTGTTGTTAGAAATCCTAAAATTCCGAGTCTATAGTTTATGGTCACTAAAATAATATCTTTTTCCATTAAATATCCAGGTCCGTAAATATTACTACTTCCTGTGAGAAAGCTACCTCCATGAATGAATACCATAACCGGAAGTAATTTATTTCTGGGCTGTAGAAATTTTAATATATTTGGATATTTGATACAATTATTAAAATCTGAATGAAATGTTACTAATGTTTGATGTTACTAAGTAGTGTTTTTTTTTTAATGTGAATTAATTTTCTTATACCAGTGGATTTTGGAAGCTTAACAATGGCGAATATACATTAAGGAATAAACAATCATCATTCCCTGATATGGCACCATTATTATTTTGAGGGCAAATATTTCCAAATGACTTTGCTTGTTTTATTCCCCACCAAGCTGTAGCTGGCTCTGGATTTTTAAATCTAAAAGGTTTTAATTGTAAAATAAAATTTTTTAGAATTTTAGATTTTTACTAAATGAAATTAAAAAATATTTACCGTCGATTTCCAATTGGTGGTTGCGCATAGGGAATTCCTCGGAATGCTGAATATGTTTTTCCATATCTTGCAATCTCCACAGTACCATTTAAAGTTCCATGAGAAATTTGCACTAAAGGTTCAGCGTTTATGGAAAAAATCCATAATAAATTTAATAATAGTTGAAAAATCATGGCGATTATTTTTTTTTTATCTAATTTCTAAAAATACTGAAAATTAAATAAAAATTTAAGACTTGTTTCCTGAATAGATTGTCACTGAATACTAATCAAGTATTCTCTTTCTCACAGTGAGAGTTGTTTAAAAATTTATTTAGATAACGGGTGACTTTTTCTTTTTTATACTTTGCAGAATATTTTACATATTCTAAAGGAGGAAAAAAAAAATTCTATAAGCACATAATATATTGGACGAACATTTTATCAACATCTGTGAGTAAGCTTGTACGAAGTTTATTAATTTATATATACGAAGAAGATAATGAATTTCTTGTTAAGTAAATATTAATCTAATTATAGGAATTAAAATTTTAAACTTTATCCAATATTTCAAATTGGTATATTGTAATAAAAGTATCTGAAGGAATTTTGAATATTTTAAAAGAACTTAAATCAATGTCAATCAACTTTCAAATACGATATAATTTGCAAATTAGATTTTTTTTTTTGTTTAAACAAATAAAATTCATCGGTCGTTATTTACTTTAATGCTAATTTACAGATGTGGATAAAATTTTTTATTTAATTTAACTTAATTTTCTTATTTTCAATAACGAAAATAAAATAATTTTCTTTTGAGAAAACTATTAATTTTTATTCAAAACTAATAATTTGATAACATTTTGTTAGAAATTTATTTAATAATCCTGCAAAAAATAGTATAAAAAATTTGCACTATATAGGAGCATTTTTTTTCCAAAAATTGATTCGTTTTGTAAAATAATTTTTTGACATTGATACAATTGGATCTCGATTGTTTCTAATGTTTCCGATTTGAATGTGATTTGTTGTATTAGGTGAATATGGCTGCCATAAATTAGGATTCAATAATTCGCTAGATGTTGGTTTTCTGAAAAGATGATAAAAATTAAGATATTTTATTTTTATTCTAAAAATAAATTAAAATTCATAAAAATTAGAATTTCAATTATAATTACCCATTTGTAGCAAATGATGTCCAAAAGTCAACCATTATTCGACTAATTTTTTCATCGATTCGAGTAAAATTTACATTTGATGTTATAAAAGATCCATAAGTGACTGGGAATAAATATAAAATTTCATCTTGATGTGATACACCATAATTTCGTTTATCTCCATATCTTGCTGTTACACTGACTGATCCTCGATATCCAAAATTATAAAAGTAATTATAATTTCTCATTTTTGGAGTTACTTTTTCTAACATTCTCACTTGTGGATACAAAAATACTGTATCGCTAAAAAATTTTGTTGTTCCGCTTAAGAACTAAAATAAAAATTTTCTTATTTTTATTTTGGAAAGTAAAAGTGCGAATGTTTATAAAAAAAAAAACTAAAGAAAAATATAGGTTTCTTTAATTTTTTTTTTTTTTTTTAATTTCATTGAAAATAATTTGACCTCGTTTTTATTGCTGGTGGAATATGTGCCGTTAAAGTAAAATTTATCTAAAGCCGAAAAAAACTTTCCTGATTGTTGTTTATAATGTTTTGCGAGATAATTGAATGATTTGTTAATATTTGCTCTTAATTGTTGATATACAATGTCATTAGAATATGCCCCTGATAGTGAGAAAAAGACTTTTAAAAAACAATTTAGGAAATTATATAAATTTTCAAAAAATTATTTAGCTACTTGCCGCTAGTAAAAGTTAGACCTTCGTCAGTAACTGCGCCACTCATGAAAGGCATATCTTTCATTTTATTATTGTTCACACTATTTAATGGAGTTTCTGTTAAAAATGCATCTGGTGAATTAGATTCAATTGTTGGATTCCAAATAAAATGGCCATATTTCATCATTGTTTCGCCAACTGCAGTTGTTTTTACTAAATCATCTGAATTAATTTTTCGAAGACAATTAACAATTGTTTGTGATTCGTTTGTTGAACAATTGAATAATTTTGCTAAATTTTTAACATGAACGACAGAATCTTTTGGTTCTTGATATGCACCAGGCCCTACCACTGTTCCACTTTGAATTATATATTTGTGAAATAATCCTATGATATAAAACATTTTTTTTAACCATATGTAATAATTAATACTATATAAATATTTTATTCTAATTTCTATATTTACCCCTACTGGCTTTAGAAATTGAATGTAGATTCACGGAAATACCTCCTACACTTTCTCCAAATATAGTTACATTATTTGGATTTCCACCGAATGATCTAATATTTCTACGAATCCATCGTAAAGCTTCAACTTGATCTTTAAGGCCAAAATTTCCTGATGCTACTGCATCACCTGTTGTTAGAAATCCTAAAATTCCGAGTCTATAGTTTATTGTCACCAAAATAATGTCCTTTTCCATTAAATATCCAGGTCCATAAAAATTACCACTTCCTATGAGAAAATTACCACCATGTATCCATACCATAACTGGAAGTAATTTGTCATTGGGCTGTAAATTTTTTTTTTTTAGAAAATCAGTAAAATAAAATATTTTGTTTTTATATTTATGCTAATTGAAATAATGTTATTTACTACTGGTGTTTGAAAATTTTGAAATGGGGTATAGATATTTAACAATAAACAGTCATCTTTTCCTAATATTCTTCCATCATTATTTTGCGGACAAATGTTTCCGAATGAATATGCAGGGCGTATTCCTCTCCAAACTGTCGCTGGTTTTGGATTTTTAAAACTGAAATATTATGTAAACTTAGGAAATTGAATTTTAGTTTTAGTTTTCTTTTGTATTTACCGTAGGTTTCCAATTGGAGGTTTTGCATACGGTACTCCTAGAAAAGCCGAAAAACATCTTCCATATCTGGCTATCTGTATAGTTCCGTTTAATGTTCCCTGAGAAATTTTCACTAGAGGTTCGCCACTTATTGACAAAATCCATAGTAAAATTAGAGAATTTATTAGTAGAGAAGGTTTAATATTCATTGAAAATTGTTTTTAAAATAAAAATTTTAAACTTTCTGTTTTTTATATTTCCTTAAACGTTTGTATAAATACTTTTGGTGTGCTTTATCACGAATGATTATCAAAATTGTAAGTAATTAGCGGGGGACTTTTTTATTATTCTGAATATTTACATATTTTCATCGGAAACAAGGAAAAAACAGCCAAATTGAAAGTCGTTTTTAAATTTATTTTTAAAACATTTAATTAAATTTTATTATAACAATTGAAAATAACATAAATTTTTTTAAATACATTTTAAAGAAATTTATCGCACAAAAATTGATAACAGTTTTCTATATGGGAGCATTTTTCCTCCAAAAATTGATTCGTTCTGTATAGTAGCTGTTGGACATTGACATAGTTGGATCTTTATTGTTATTTATGTTTCCAATTTGAATATGAGCATTAGTTATCGATGAATAAGGTTGCCACAAATTAGAATTTGGTAATTCGTTAGATGTTGGTTTTCTGAAATAAATTTTATACTTATATCCAAATACAATGATTTTTAATGTATAAAAGATTTTTATATGTTAAGAATTTTATCCGATTTTAAAAAATTTTAATATTTACCCATTTGTAGCAAATGAAGTCCAAAAATCTACCATTATTCGACTAATTTTTTCATCGTTACCAGTGAAATTTGCATTTGTTGTTACAAATGTAACAGAGGTAATAGGAAATAGATATAAAATGTCATCACCGTGTGAGACACCTGTATTATCTTTAATTCCACCAATTGCTGCCATGTTTAATGTACCTCGATATCCAAAATTATAAAGATAGTTGTTATTTTTCATTCGCGGCGTTACTTTCTCCAATAATCTTATTTCTGGATAGAAAAACGATGAGTCACTGAGAAATTTTGAAATAATGTTCAAGAACTGTTGGACAAATTTTTTTTATATCAGTTATTGTGAATTTTAAAATGATTAAAAATTTACAATAAAGCTCATACCTCGTTGGGTAAAATTGTAATGTAAAATCTGTTGTTAAAGTAGAATTTATTCATGGCGGTAAATAATTTTTCAGCATCTTGTTTGTAATATTTAGCTACGTAGTTTATTGATGTTCTAAAATTCAATCTGAAGAATAGGTAGAGAAGAAAATTAGATAGGCCGGCTAAAATTGATAAAAAAGAGTTAAAAATCATTAACTATTTCTACAATTATTATTAAAAATCTGATTACTTACGTCCTTTTAATGATAAACCTTCATCGGCACAGTTACCACTCATGAAAGGTAAATCTTTCATTTGATTATTGTCAATACTGTTTAATGGAATTTCTGTTAAAAATGCATCTGGAGTATCAGATTCAATTGTCGGTGTCCATAAAGAATGACCATATTTTATTGTCTCGTCTATCGTACTAGCTTTTACTAAATCATTTGAATCAATTTTTCGCAGACAATCAATAATAACTTGTGATGATCTTACGGGACAGTTAAATTTTCTCGCTAATTCTTTTACGTGCACTTGAAAATCTTTTTGATCTTGATATCCGCCTGGTCCTAATATAGTTCCACTTTGGATTATATATTTTTGGAAGAGATCTAAAAATGTATTTAGATATTATTTTTTCTTTTAAAAAAAATAAAAATCCATACATTTGATTTTGATTCATACCGTTACTAGCTCTAGAAATTGAATGCAAATTTACTGAAGCTCCACCAGCACTTTGACCGAATAATGTCACTTTTTTTGGATCACCACCAAAAGATTTGATATTTTTTTGAACCCATTTTAGAGCCTCAACCTGATCTTTCATGCCAAAATTTCCTTGTGCCACAGAATCACCTGTTGTTAAAAATCCTAAAATTCCGAGCCTATAATTGAAGGTCACTAAAATAATATTCTTTTCCAATAAATATTGTGCTCCATACATGTTACCAGTTCCTGTAAGGAAACTACCACCGTGAATCCAAACCATAACTGGTATTAATTTATCAGTGGACTGCAAAAATTAGATGTAATGTTTCATAAAATCTTACTGTTAAAAAATTATTTACCTTTGGATTGTTGAATTCTAAACGAGGTGTATATACATTTAGATATAAACAATCGTCTTTTCCGAATATTTTTCCATTATCATTTTGAGGACATGCATTTTCAAATGAATGTGCTGATCGTATTCCATTCCAATTTTCAGCTGGTTCTGGATTTTTAAATCTAAAATAATGTTAAAGGAAAAAATAAAAGTGGAAATTTTAGAAAGTACTTAAAAATTTTTTATCAATAAATGTTTCATTTGGGAAATTTTAGAATAGAATATTTACCGTCGATCTGCAATTGGTGGTTTCGCATAGGGAATTCCTAGGAATGCTGAATAGCTTTTTCCATATCTTGTTGTTTGTGTATTTCCTCTCAATTGACCATGAGAAATTTTTACTAAAGGTTCTGCACTTATAGATAAAATCCATAGTAAATTTATCAATAGTAGAGTATTCATTGAGTATTGTTTTCAAAAGTTTGAAGAAAAAGAAGAAAAATTCAAAGAGAAATTTTTAATATTTTGTTCGTAATTTCCTTAAAAGTTGATATATATGTAGTGAAGAGTTCTTTATCAGAAGTGATTATAAAAAAATTGTGAGTACTCGTATTTCTTTTATTATTCAAAATATTTACATAGTCTGGTCGAAAACGAGGAAAAGGAGACAAAAAATTGCGATTGTAAATTATTTTAAAAATGGTTTTCAATTTTTCTATAGATTTTATTATTATATAAAAACACAGAAAATTAAAAGGCATAAAAATAAGTTGCAACGCTTATTATTTTAATCCAATTTTGCTTATTTTAATCCATTTTGGTATTAAAATAAGCAAAATTGGATTAAAATAATAAGCGTTGCAGCTTATTTTAATATCTTATAATTTTCTGTGAAGGTATGGTTTGTGCTTTAGGCATTTTATACAAATTTTAAAGGTATTTGTTGCACAAAAATGTTTTCTATATAGGAGCATTTTTTCTCCAAAAATTAATTCGTTGTGTATAATATCTGTTGGACATTGACACAGTTGGATCTTTATTGTCATTTATTTTTCCAATTTGAATATGAGCACTTGTTGTTGGTGAATAAGGTTGCCACACATTAGGATTTGGTAATTCTGTAGATGTTGGTTTTCTGAAATAAATTTTATAGTTATATCAAAATATAACGATTTTAATGTACAAAAGCTTTTTATTGAAATTAATGTTGAGAATTTATTCGATCCTAAAAAATTTAGATATTTACCCATCTGTAGCGAATGTTGTCCAAAAGTCTACTAGAATTCTGCTTACTTTTTCATCATCACCGGTAAAATTTGCATTTGTCGTTTGAATGGTGAAATAATTTAGAGAAAATAGATAAAGAATATCATCACCGTGCGATACACCATAATCTCGTTTATCTCCACCAATGCCTGTAAGACTTAGTCCTCCACGATATCCAAAATTATAAAAGTAGTTTTTATTTTTTATTTGTGGCGTTACTTTTTCCAATAATCTTATTTCTGGATAGAAAAATGCTGCATCACTGAAGTATTTTGTCATTATTCTCAAATACTGTTGATAAAATTTTATATTATTTAATTGTAAAAGAGGAAATGCAAAATTATTTCTATACTTTTAATTAAATTTTTTTTTATTACTTACATCGTCAGGTAAAAGAGTGATGTAATATCTGTTGTCAAAGTAAAATGCATTCATTGCCGAAAAAAGTCTATCGGGATTTTGATCATAAAATTTAGCGATGTAATTTAAAATTGTTCTGACATTGAATCTAAAGGCCAGATATACAAAGAAATTTGAAAAGGCAGCTGAAATTAATAAAAAAAATTATTAGACAATACTAATTGTTTCAAATATTAATAGAAAAAAAAAATTTTTTTTACTTACGCGCAGTAAATGATAAACCTTCATCGGCAACAGTTCCACTCATAAAAGGCAAATCTTTTGTTTTGTTATTGTCGACACTATCCAATGGAATTTCTGTTAAAAATGCATCTGGAGTATCAGATTCAATTGTTGGTACCCATATAAAATGACCAGTTTTAACGAGAGCATCAAGTCCACTACTTGCTTTTGCCAATTCATTTGAATTAACTCTTCGCAGACAATTAACAATGAGTCGTTGTGAGCTATCAGGACAATTGAATTTTCTCGCTAATTCTTTTACATGTACTTCAAAATCTTGTGGTTGTTGATATCCGCCTGGTCCTAATACGGTTCCACTTTGGATTATATATTTTTGGAAGAGACCTAAAACATTTTTTTTTTCATTATTGAATTTTTTTTTGAATATTTCGTTTTTAATTCTTACCGTTACTGGCTTTAGAGATAGCATGTAGATTTACAGCAATACCTCCAGCGCTTTCGCCGAATAAAGTTACTTTTTTTGGATCACCACCAAAAGATTTGATATTTTTTTGAACCCATTTTAGAGCCTCAACCTGATCTTTCATGCCAAAATTTCCCGGCGCTATTGAATTACCTGTTGTTAAAAATCCTAAAATTCCGAGTCTATAGTTTAAAGTTACTAAAATAATATCCTTTTCCAATAAATATTGTGCCCCATACATGTTACCAGTTCCTATGAGAAAACTACCACCATGAATCCAAACCATAACTGGTAGTAATTTGTCAGTGGGCTGTAAAATTTTGTGTATTTGAATCAGTTGTGTATAAGTTTTTATAGAAAAAAAAATGTGTACCTTTGGATTGTTGAATTCTAAACGAGGGGTATAAACATTTAGATATAAACAATCATCTTTTCCGAATATCCGTCCATTATCATTTTGAGGACATGGATTGCCAAATGCATGTGCTGATCGTACTCCTGTCCAACTTGCAGCTGGTTCTGGATTTTTAAATCTAAGATAATTTGAAAAAAAAATTTTAATATTAATTTTAAATTTTTTAATTTTTTTCCAAAATAAATTGAATTTTAATGTATTTACCGTCGACCTCCAACTGGTGGTTTCGCGTATGGAATTCCAAGAAATGCTGAATATCTTGTTCCATATCTTGCTGTTTCTATATTTCCTCGCAATTGCCCCTGAGAAATTTTTACTAAAGGTTCTGCATTTATAGATAAAATTATTAGTAAATTTATGAGCAATATAGAGGGTTGAAGAATCATGTTTTTTTTTCTTCCAAAAATTGTGTATTCTTTTGGTAAATCGAAAATTCAATATTTTAAAACTCCTGTTGTTTCCTCTAAAGTCAATTTATGTATTGAGTGCTTTTTTATTACTGTCAATTGCCTAAAGTATAGATAACGAACGAATGATTTTATTAGTCATTATTCTTTACAATATTTATATGTCCAACAGTTTGATGAATAAGGAAAAAAATTCTCGTATTAGTCAAACATTATTGGGTAATATATTTTTTTTTTGTCAATATTTATTGTTTTAGTAAATAAAATTTTTATGAATTTAAACTTGAGGAAAAGTAATTTATTTTGGTAATGATTTTGTTGATTTTTAAATAATTAAATCATTTATATACTAATTAGAATTTTTTGTGAGAAATACAAAATAGTAATTTATTTATAAATACGAATTGAGGGATTTAAAATTGTGTAGCTTTTTTTTTGGAAATATCAATTTCCAAAGGAAAATGCGTTTTATTTCCTGAATTACGTAAAAATTGGTATTAATAAATTTGTTTTTTAACCATATCACGGAAAATTATTTGTTTATTTGAATTTAAAAAAAAAACGTAGTTATTGTTAAAATTTATTGCGAAATTTTTTCTTCTTTTATTCCTCCTAGGTCATGTGTAAATTTTTCTTTATATCATTTTTAATGATTTTAGACTAAAACCATATGGGAGCATATTTTTTCCAAAAATTCATTCTTTCTGGATAAAATGAATTAGAAATTGATATTGAAGGTTTCGTGTTATTATTAATATCTCCAATCATAAGATAAGTACTTTTCTCGGGATTAAATGGCATCCAAAGATTAGATGGATTTAAATTTTTGGAAGTTGGTTTTCTGAAATTTATAAAATTATATTATTTCAATTTTCATTTTTGATTTATTTTCTATTATATTTACCCATTTATTGCAAACGAAGTCCAAAGATCAATCATAACATCGATTATAAATTCATCTTTTTTCGTGTAATTTGATTTTAGACCAAAATCTTGTGGATATGATTTAAATAAATAATTAAGCTCATCTGTGTGTGATACGCCAATATTTTTATTATTGCCAGTTGTCACATTAGTAAAACCAAATGTTCCACGATAACCAAAATTATAAAAATAATTGAAATTTTTCATTTTTGGCGTTACTGTTCGCAACATTTTTAATTGTGGATAAAAGAAAAAAGCATCTGATATAAATCTTGTGGCGTTTCTCACGAACTAATTGATAGAAAATTTTTAGTTTTTCATTTTTTTTTTTGCGGGGTATTAAAATTAAATAATATGATAAAATTTACCAGTTGATTGTCTCCATTCATAGCTTCTTTATTGAAGTAAAAATTATTGACTGCCTTTGAAAGATTGACATTTTTATATCCGTTAAGATAGAAATTAATTACGAAATAAATTATTGGTGTTTTAATAAATTTAATGAGACTAGTCAAAAATTTATTTATTTTTAATACTGAAATGGAAATATTCAATTGTTCAATATTTGATTTTATTTTCTTTTTAGTATTGATAGAAGAGTATTTAACTCACAACTCGATACTAATAATCCTTCATTTTTATTAATTCCACACATGAATGGCATATCTCTTATTCGATCAATTAAAAATGCTGGATTTTCAGTTAAAAATGCTCCTTCAATATTTGGTTCATTTGTTGGTGTCCATGTTAATAATGCAAACAATGAACTTGTGTCCATTAATCTTTTCACACTTTTTCGTTGCATACATTTAACGAGATTTTTTGAAAATATAAATGGACAAAAAAGTAGTCCGGCAATTCCTTTAATATGTAATTTTACTCCCTCACTATTTTGATATGCCCAGGGACTTAAAAAACTTCCACTTTGTAATATATATTTTTGAAAAAGACCTAAAAATTTTAAAAGAAAATCAATTTTCACAAATTAGTATTCTATAAATTAAATTTTTTTTTTACCATTAGTCTCATTGGAAATTGCATGTAGAGTAATACTAGCTGCACCTGCACTCTCTCCAAATAATGTAACTTGATTTGGATCACCACCAAATGCTTTGATATTTTTTTGAATCCATTTTAAAGCTAAAACTTGATCTTTCAAACCATAATTACCTGGCGATGATGAATCGCCAGTTGTAAAAAATCCAAATATTCCCAAACGATAATTTATTGTTACTAAAATAATATCTTTATCTAAAAGAAATTCAGCTCCGAAAAAATTACCACTACCAAAAATAAATACACCTCCGTGAATAAAAACCATGACGGGAAGTAATGATTGTTCCTAAAATTCAAAATATTTAATTTTTTATGTTTAGAATATTTATCTTTGATTTTTCTTTTTGATATATTTGACGTACCAAAGATGAGGAGTTGAAATCTAATTTTGGTGTATAAACATTTAAAAATAAACAATTTTCACTTCCTATAATATCACCTTTGTCATATTGCGGGCATACATTTCCAAAAGAATTTGCTTGACGTATTCCACTCCAATTTTTTGCTGGTTGAGGATTTTTGAATCTAATTTGAATAGTTGCTTAATTATTTATTAAATTGAACAACTTAGTTATTAATTAATTATAAATTAATAATAAAACATTAATGAATTTTACCTTAAATTTCCAATTGGTGGTTCGGAGTAAGGTATTCCAAGAAATGCTGAATAATTTCTTCCATTTCTAGATTGTTGCAAAGTACCATTTAATTTCCCTTGAGAAACAGTTACAATTGTTTGTATTGTTATGTGAAATCCATTAAAAAAGTATAACAATAATAAAGAGATTATTTTGTATTTCATTTTTATGAAAAATATAATTTTATAAGAGTGAATGCTAATGCATTTTTTCTTTTTCTTTAAATAACAAATAGAAATTAATTTTTCAATCAAATTTTTAAGAGCAATAGGTAAATATTACTTTGAAGTTTGTGAAAATTATTATTTACCTATTCTATTAAAAATTTTTTTAAAAAGAAAAAAATGTTTAATAATATGTTTTTTATTATCGAAACTAAATTCAATACACTTATCTTGAACTTGCTTTCGTACCTGTTTTCGACTGGTTATTATTACTTACCTATTGAATAGTTTTTTATTTATAAGGAATACACTTCATTTTATTTTAAAATATAAATATTTTTAATTATTTAAATATTTCATTTAATGAAAATTAAATTAGTATTCATATAAATTGATTTAAATTAAATATTTTATAATGCTTTCTATAATTGCAACAGGAAATATTTTTGTATAATAGTGAAATTTGTAGGCAAAGTTTAGTTTAAATTTTTCATGCAATTCGGCTTTAAGTGGATTTTACGTTAATGCAGTTTATTAAACAAACTAAGACCACTCGGGAGCGTGCTTTTTCCAAAAATTCATTCGATTAGGATAAAAGGAATGAGAAAGTGTTATTAATGGATTTGTGTTATTATTAATGTCGCCAATCATAAGATGAGTTTGATTTTCTGAATCATATGGTATCCAAAGATCAGATGGATTTAAATTTTTTGAAGTTGGTTTTCTGAAATTGTTACTGTATTATTATTTTGATTCTTATTTTCCATTATCTTTCTATATTTACCCATTTATTGCGAACGAAGTCCAAAGATCAGTCATGACATCTATCATAAATTCATCATTTTTCGTGTAATTAGCTGATTTCATATTATATTCATCTTGAGATATTGGAAATAAATAATTAAGTTCATCAGTGTGTGATACTCCAATATTGTCATTATTACCCGATGTTAAATTAGTAAAACTAAATGTTCCTCGATAGCCAAAATTATAAAAATAGTTTGAATTTTTCATCTTTGGCGTTACAGTTTGTAACATTTTTAGTTGTGGATAGAAAAAGAATGCATCTGTTGAAAATCTTGTGACATTTTCTAAAAACTGAATAAAAATAAGTATTATTAATGTTGCTGACGAAAAAAAATTTAAATATAGATAAATACCATTTCATTGCTTTCTGTCATGGCGCGTTCATTAAAGTAAAAATTATTAACATTCAGAGTGAGATTTGAATTCTTATTTTTGTTAAGATAGTAATTGTTTACAAATGATAGTACAGGTTCAAAAATGTATCTGATGACACTAGGTATATATTTATTCACCCTCAAAACTGAAATGAAAATAAAATTCTGTACTTAGATATATATTTTGTGTGTGTGTTTTTTTTTTTTTTTTTTTTAATAATTATGGTAACATTACAACTAGATACAACCAGTCCTTCGTCAGCGGTAATTCCACTAATAAAGGGCAAATCTTTCATTTGGTCCATTAAGTTTGCTGGATTATCCGTTAAAAATGCTCCTTTAATATTTGGTTCATCGGTTGGAGTCCATGAAATTATTGCAAATATAGAACTTGTGTCCATTAAGCTTTTTACACTTTTTGTTCGCATACAATTAACGAGTCTTTCGGAAAATATTAGAGGACAAAAAAGCAATGCACCAATTCCTCTTATGTATGGTTTTAGTTCATCCTTGCTTTGATAAGCCCAAGGACTTAAATAAGTACCACTTTGTATTATGTATTTATGAAAAAGACCTACAGGGTAACTTTTTTACTTATAGAAATAAAAATAAAAATTTCTCTTTTAGAAATCCCTTATAAAAATAATATTTACCATTACTTGCTTCAGAAATAGCATGAAAAGCAACACTTGCACCACCGGCACTTTCTCCAAAAATTGTAACATTTTGTGGATCACCTCCAAATGATTTGATATTCTCCTGAACCCATTTTAAAGCTTGAACTTGATCTTTCAAACCATAATTACCTGGCGATGATGAATCACCAGTTGTAAAAAATCCAAAAATTCCCAAACGATAATTAAACGTTACTAAAATAATGTCCTTGTCTAAAAGAAATTGAGCTCGAAAATTATTACTGCTTCCCATAACAAATGCACCACCGTGAATCCAAACCATAACTGGTAGTAAAGATTGCTCATTGTTTTCCTGTGATAACAAAACAATGATTTTACAAATCATTTCTAAAATTATTTTCAAATCTGCATCTAAATTATAATTACCGATTTGGAATTGAATTTTAAAATTGGTGTATAAACATTTAGAAATAAACAATCTTCATTGCCTCGAACCTCCATACCTTGAAATTGAGGACATCGATTTCCAAAAGTATTCGCTTGTCTTATTCCATTCCAATTTTTTGCTGCTTGAGGACTTGTGAATCTAAAAATAAAAGTAGAAATTTTTAATATGAAATCTTTGATTATTTAAATATTAAAATTTTACCTCAAATTTCCAATTGGTGGTTCTGCGTAGGGAATTCCAAGAAAGGCGGAATAAATTCTTCCATTTCTCGATTGTTGAAAGGTACCATTTAAAATGCCTTGTGAAAGAGTTAGAATTGGTTCCATTTTTACATAAAATGCACCAAAATGATATAATAATAATATAAAAATTATTTTGCTATTCATTTTTTGTTATTGTAAAAATTGTAATTACAGATGCGAAATGCAATGAAAAGTGACAAATGTTTCTTTCAAACATAGCCTTTTATTACTTCAGATGTTAATTAATAAATTAGAATTTACAATAGGAGAGTCGTTTCATTATTCATTGCTTCTTTTTTTTTTTTTAATAATTGACACATGATTACAAACATCTGTAACCTTCCTTGTTGAATTACGTCTCATTTATATTTATATATTATAAGTTATTAGAATTACCCTGAAGAAAGCTTTTTTGATTTTGTCCCTAAATTTTTATCTACGTAATACCCCGATTTCGTTTATTATTTGAAATGCATTTGGATTAGGATTTTCATTCAAAAATTAAGTAAAAATTAGCTGATTAGTAAAAATTGTTTACTAATTTCTTAAAATAAGTTTTATTATTATTCAAAATAATGTTATTTTATATTTTATTTAAAAGGGGCATTATTTCGCCAAAAATCCATTCGCTGTGTATAATATGTATTTGAAATTGTCACAGAGGGATCCTTGTTGTTTAATAAATTTCCTATTTGAATGTGAACAGGATTTCGAGTTGTGTATGGCGCCCATAGATTAGAATTTGTCAAAACGTTCGATACTGGCCTCCTGAAAATTATATTTTTTTTTTAAATAAAAGCTATAAAATAAAATTACAAATATTATTACCCATTTGTGGCAAATGCTGTCCACATGTCTATCAACATTCTACTAATATAATCATCATCTCTGTTAAAATTTAAATGTGACGTTCTTATCGGTCCAAATGTAAGTGGAAATAGATAGATAAGTTCATCAGCATGTGATACTCCTAGATTTTTTTGATCTCCCTCAAGCATTGTTGCACTTAAACTTCCTCTATATCCAAAATTATAAAAGAAGTTTGAATTTCTCATTGATGGTGTCACTTTCTCCAACATTCGTATTTGAGGATGTAGGAAAAATCCGTCGGTAGTGAATCTTGTTGCACTATCTAGAAACTAAAAATTCAAAATCTATTAAATAGGAATCAATAAAAACAATTAAAATTTCGACAATTTTCTTATTACATACATCTTGTTTTTTTGATGTGATAATAGATCCGTTAAAATAGTATCTTGTTACTGCTGCTGTAAATTTTCTGGAATCTTCAACTTCAAGATAACGTTTGCTGTAGCTATTAATCATTGAATGTGCATTTAATTTAAACCATGCATATTTTATATCATTTGAATAGAATTCTGAAATTAAATTTATTAATTTGACAGGAAATTAAATTTTTTATTTTCAAAATATAAATTATCAACCTCGGGTAATTAGTAGACCTTCATCAGATACGGTTCCACTCATAAAAGGCAAATCCTTCATTGCATTTTTATTAATTAGATTTAATGGTGTGTCAGTTAAAAATGCACCATCATTTTCCACTTCATTTGTGGGCGACCAATTTAATAATGCAGCACGATCAATAGAACCAAAAGCAAAATTTGTATTCACCAAAGTTGCTGCTGATTTTGATCGTAAGCATTCAATGAGATTTTTTGAATTTCTTGAAATACATGCAACACCCACAGACACTTGTCTTACATATTTAGCCAATTCTTCTTTTTTTTGAAATCCCCAAGGACACAATACGGCACCGCTTTGAATTATATAGGCTCTAAACAAACCTTTTATTCCAATAAGAATGAGATATTTTTTTCTTCCTCTAAATTAAAATAGTATTTTCAAAAAAAAATCTCTTTTTTTTACCTGCACTTGCTGGAGAAATTGAATGAAAACTAACGCTGGCAGCGCCTGCACTTTGTCCAAAAATTGTTACCCTTCGTGGATCACCACCAAATGATCTTATATTTTGCTGTACCCATTTTAGAGCAAGAACCTGATCTTTCATTCCATAATTTCCTGTTGCAACTGAATCACCAGTTGTTATGAAGCCAAGCATTCCTAATCGATAATTGATAGTCACCAAAATGACATTTTTTTCCAAGAAAAATTGTGCACCATACATGTTACCAGTGCCAGTTGTAAATCCACCACCATGAATCCAAAACATTACTGGTAACAAAGAATTAGCCTAAAAAAAATTGAATAATTTCTTTTTACTTCTTTGTTCACTTCCATGTCCATTTTTTTAAGAATATAAAATTATAAATAATTGTTTATACAGGTATTGAATTAAATTCCAATATTGGGCTATAAACGTTCAAAAATAAGCAGTCCTCGTTTCCCATTATTGTCCTTCCTGTATCCTTTTGTGGGCAAACATTTCCAAAAGACTTGGCTGAACGAACTCCTACCCAACCATCAGCAGGTTCAGGATTTTTAAATCTGAAAAAAATATTTTCGATTTCTTTGCCAGAAACTAATTTATTTATTTCAATCACGAATTTATATTGAACCCATTAAACTTTGTAGTAAATTATTGAAAAATATTTATCACTCATTCTGAAAAAAATATAAAAATTATTATTCTTAACCTGCGACTTCCAACGGGTGGTTTAGCATATGGAATTCCAAGAAATGCTGAATACTTTCTTCCATTTTTTGATAATTCATTAGTTCCATCTAATATTCCCTGAGAAATTCTCACTAAAGGATCGGCATTGAAAACAGATAGTAATTGTAAAAGAAATAGTAAATAAAATAAAGTATCCATCACCACTGTATAACTATAAAACAAAAATAAAAAAATTTTTTTTTAGTCTTTTGTAGAAGCAAATTTTTCCTTTTAATATCAGTTTATATACCTTATTTGTCAAACAAATATGAACATGTATATATATTTTTTTGTAATACCTTCACAAAACTTCCTTCTAACTAAAAAATTTTTTTTCCTCCAAACGGCCATTGCATTTATGCTTTTTTAATAATAAATATGTCATATCAACAGATTTTGATATACACGTATCTTGAGATTAAAGAATTTTTTTTTTCTGAACAAAATAAAAAGGAAAAACAATTTTTATTACCCTTGAAAACAATAAATTGCAATCATTGTCTAAAATTTATTGTAATCGTAATTTTTACGACTTAGGTGTCAACACTCGTATTAAAGGACCACGGGATATGCTTGTTTTTAAATTAGATTAGATCACGAATTCCGCGAAATTATATTGTGGATTACGCGAAACTAGGTCAGAAAATGTTGCAAAATTAAGTCATGGATTACGAGAAATGAGATCACGAAATCCGCAAAAATAGATCATGGAATCCGCGAAAATAGTGCACGCACGTATTCTGTGAAACTAGTTCGCGGATTACGCGAAATAAGATCACGGAATCCGCGAAACTAGATCACGAATTCCGAGAAACTAGATCCCGGATTTCGTGAAATAAGATCACGGAATCCGCGAAACTAGTTTATGAATTCTGCGAAATTAGATGACGAAATCCGCAAAACTAGATCACGAATTCCGAGAAACTAGATCGCGGATTACACGACATTAGATCACGGAATCTGCAAAACTTATTCACAAATTCTGAGAAAGTGGGTCGCGGATTACGCGAAAGTAGATCATGGAATCCGCGAAACTAGTGCACGATTTCCGAGAAACTAGATCGCGGATTACGCGAAATTAGATAACGGAATCTGCGAAACTTATTCACGAATTCCGAGAAAGTGGGTCGCGGATTACGCGAAATAAGATCACGGAATCCGCGAAACTAGTGCACGATTTCCGAGAAACTAGATCCCGGATTTCGTGAAATAAGATCACGGAATCCGCGAAACTAGTTTATGAATTCTGCGAAATTAGATGACGAAATCCGTAAAACTAGATCACGAATTCCGAGAAACTAGATCGCGGATTACGCGAAATTAGATCACTGGAATATGCGAAATTTATTCACGAATTCCGAGAAAGTGGGTCGCGGATTACGCGAAAGTAGATCATGGAATCCGCGAAACTAGTGCACGATTTCCGAGAAACTAGATCGCGGATTACGCGAAATTAGATCACTGGAATCTGCGAAATTTATTCACGAATTCCGATAAAGTGGGTCGCGGATTCCGCGAACCTAGATCACGAATTCCGAGAAACTACATCGCGGATTCCGCGAACCTAGATCACGAATTCCGAGAAACTACATCGTGGATTACGCGAAACTATATCACGGATTACACTAAACTAGATTATGTATTCTGTGAAACTAGGTCGCGGATTACGCGAAATTAGATCACGGAATCCGCGAAATTAGATCATGAATTCCGGGAAACTATAGATCCCGGATTTCGTGAAATTAGATCACGGAATCCGCGAAAGTAGTTCATGAATTCTGCGAAACTAAATTAAAGAGGTGTAATGCAGAATAAAAAAATTGTGTACTAATTTTGAAAAATAAGTTTTATTATCGTCAAATTATTATTATTATTAATTTAAAGCGGGGCATTGTTTCGCCAAAAATTTATTTGTTGTATAAAATATTTATTTGACATTGTAACAGAGGGATCCTTGTTGTTTAAAATATTTCCTATTTGAATGTGAACAGGATTTCGAGTTGTGTATGGCGTCCATAGATTAGAATTTGTCAAAACATTCGATACTGGCCTCCTGAAAATGATGTAAACATTATTTTCTTAAAATTAAATCTATAAAATAAAAATTAAAATAATTATTACTTATTTGTAGCAAATGATGTCCACATATCTATCATTATTTTACTAATATAATCATCATTTCTGCTAAAATTTAAATGTGATGTTTTAAACGATCCAATTGTAAGTGGAAATAGATATAAAAGTTCATCTGCATGTGCTACTCCAAGATTTTGTTGAACTCCATCAATCATTGTTGTGCTCAGTGTTCCTCTATATCCAAAATTATAAAAGAAGTTTGAATTTCTCATTGATGGTGTTACTTTCTCCAATGTTCGCACTTGAGGATGTAGAAAAAATCCATCAGCAATTAATTTTGTTACACCTTCTAGAAACTAAAATAAATAGTTTCTAACTAAATTTTTTATTAATTAGAGTAAAATTGAAATTATTTTCAATTTAAAAAAAATTATGTACATCTTTTTTTGTTGATGTGGCAATAGATCCGTTAAAATAGAATCTTGTAACTTTCTCAATGAATCGTCTAGAATCTTTAACATCTAAATAAGTTTTGCTGAGATTATTAAGTATCAAATTGGCATTTAATTTGAACAATCCGTAGAGTACATCATTTTTATATAGTTCTGAAATTAAGAAAAATTTTAATAATATTTATTAATAATTTAAACAAGAAAAGTAAAATTAACAACCTGCAGTAACTAGTAGACCTTCATCAGACACAGTTCCACTCATAAAAGGCAAATCTATTATTGCCTTATTATCTATAAAATTTTTCGGAATGTCAGTTAAAAATGCATCATTATGTTTCACTTCATTTGTTGGTAACCAGTTTAATAATAAACCTTCCATAAAACCAAGTCCAACATCTCCATTTACCAAACTTACTGTTGATTTTGTTCGTAAACATTCAATTAGATTGCATGAATTACTTGAATTACAGGCAACATTCACAGATACTCGTCGTACAAAAGATGATAATTTTTCTCTTGTTTGAAATGCCAATGGTGATAATATAACACCACTTTGAATTATATAGGCGCTAAATAAACCTTTTTATCCAATAAAATTGAGAAAAAAACCAATTAGTGATCCTTCGTTTCTTTTTTTAAAAGAATAATAATTTTTTTTAATGAAATTTTACCTTTACTTGCTGGAGAAATTGCATGACAATTGACACTAATAGCACCTGCACTTCCTCCAAAAATTGTCACCCTTCGTGGATCACCACCAAATGATTTTATATTTTGCTGTACCCATTTTAGAGCAATAACTTGATCTTTCATTCCATAATTTCCTGCAGCAACTAAATCACCTGTGCTGATAAAACCAAATATTCCTAATCGATAATTAATTGTTACTAAAATGACGTTTTTGTCCAAAAAAAATTGTGCCCCATACTGGCTACTACTACCCATTATAAATCCTCCACCATGAATCCAAAACATTACTGGTAACAACGGATCTCTCTGAAATAAAGTAGGTTCAATTTAATTTCAATTTAGTTTTAATCTAGTTTCAATCTAGGTTCAATCTAGATTCTATATAGTTTCAATCTAGGTTCAATCTAGGTTTAATCTAGTTTCTATATAGTTTCAATCTAGATTCAATCTAGGTTCAAATTAGATTCAATGTAGGTTTAATTTAGTTTCAATTTAAATTCAATCTAGACTTAATCTAGTTTCAATATAGTTTCAATCTATTTCTAATCTAGTTTCAACCTAGTTTCAATCTAGTTTCAATCTAGTTTCAATCTAGTTTTAATCAAGTTTCTATCTAGTTTAAATCTAGTTTCAGTCTAGTTTCAATCTAGTTTCAAAGTAGGTCTAATACGAAATACACCTGCTTTTCTCTAAGTAATTTTTAATAATAAATAAATATCAATTAATTGCTTACAGATGTTGTATTAAAATTAAGTTTCAGAGGGTAATAATAAATAAATATTAATAATTGCTTACAGATGTTGTATTAAAATTAAGTTTTGGAGTGTATATGTTCAAAAATAAGCAGTCCTCGTTACCGATAACTGTTCCCCTTCCATCCCTTTGAGGGCAAATATTTCCAAAAGACTTAGCAGATCGAACTCCCATCCAACTTTCAGCAGGTTCAGGATTTTTAAACCTATAAAAAAATGTTTTTTATTTTCTTTTTATCTATCTTAATTCGACTATTATGTTAATGAATTAAAAATTTTTTTTCAGAATCATGATCGGAACTCTCGTCTCGGAATGGAAATCGAGGGCTCGAATCTTCGTGGAGGTGAGTTTTTTTTCAAAATATAAAAATTATTTTAATAAATATAAATTTAATGCTTTTATTAACAATATTTTAAAATAATTTTAATACTTTTAAAACTTCTTCAAAAAAAATATCGTAAAAATTATTATTCTTAACCTGCGAATTCCAATGGGTGGTTTTGCATAAGGAATTCCAAGAAATGCTGAGTATTTTCTTCCATTTTTTGATATTTCACTAGTTCCATCTAATATTCCTTGAGAAATTCTTACTAAAGGATCGGCGAAAACACATAATAATTGTAAAAATAGTAAATAAATTAAAATATTCATTACAACTGAATAACTATATGAAAAATGAAATTTTTTTTTTAGTCTCGAAGAGACAAATTTTTTCTTTAACTGTCAGTTTATAGCCTTATTTGTCAAACAGATATAAACATGTACATTTTTTTTAACTGAAAAAATTTTTTTTTCCTTTAAACGGCCATTGCGTACATGTATGTTTTTTCAATAATAAATATGTCATTTTAATCAGAATCGGTTTACTCGGTTTTTGTAAATAACATTTTTTTTTTTTCTTTGAGAACAAAATAAAAAGGAAAAAACAATTTTTATTATCTTTGATAATATTGAATTATTATTGCATATGTTTTAAATGCGTGTCTGTTAGAGGCAAAATTAAAATGAACTTTTTTGTAACAATTAAAAGAATTTTTTTTAGAAAGTAATAGAAATAATTAAAGAGGAATATTTTCCCGCCAAAAATTCATTCGTTTTGTATAATATGATTTCGACATTGAAATCTTTGGTTTTTTGTTATTTCGAATATTTCCGATTTGAATGTGGACAGGATTTTTTACAGTATATGGCTTCCAGTAGTTAGGATTTTTCAATTCCTTTGACGTTGGTTTTCTAAAATTAAAAAATAAAATTTTACTTTTTGTAAAATAAAATGTAGAAAATTAAAAAAAATTTTTTTTTACCTATTTGTAGCGAATGAAGTCCAAAAATCTACCATTAATCTACTCATTTTTTCATCTGTTTTTGAAAAATTGATATTTTGAAGTGTAGGATAATTTATTGGAAATAGATATAAAAGTTCATCAGCATGTGAAACGCCGAGGTTCCTTTTGTCACCACCAATTTCTGTGAGACTCTTTTTTCCTCTATATCCAAAATTATAAAAATAATTAGGATTTTTATTTATTGGTGTTACTTTTTCTACCATTCGCAATTGTGGATATAAAAAAAATCCATCGGTGATAAATCTCGTGGCACTATCTAAATACTTTAAATATATTTTTTTTAATTTAAAAAAAAAATAATGTTTAATTATAAAATTAAATAAATAATAAATTAAATAATTAAATTCATACGTCTCTTTGAGATGAAAAAATCATAGAGTCATTGAAATAAAATTTATTCACTGACAGAGTAAATTCAATTTCATCGTTTCTTCCAAGATATTGATTGCTAAAGTAGGCAATTATTGCATTTGTTGTCAATTTAAATGCATTATAGAGTAATATATTGGAATATAATTCTGAAAATTGAGAAATTATTTTTGTTTTTCATTCTTTTTAGTCTGAAATTTTGTATAAACTGACCTCTAGTAACGACTAGACCTTCGTCTGAAACAGCACCGCTCATAAATGGTAAATCCTTCATTGCATTTTGATTCATTAAACTTCTTGGATTATCAGTTAAAAATGCTTCTTCATCTTCAGGTTCATCTGTTGGTGTCCATGTTAATTTTGCCAAACGAGATATTGTACCGAATGCTACACTTGTAGTTATTAAATTTGTTATAGGCTTGTTTCGTAAACAATTTACTAAAAATCTTGAGTTAAAAAATGGACACAAAAAGAGTAATCCAATTTGCTTCACGTACGTTGATAATGTAGTACTTTTTTGATAAGCCCATGGGCACAAAACAGCACCACTTTGAATTATATAACCGCTGAATAAACCTGTTTAAATTATTTTTTAAAATTAGGGTAACAAATAAAATGTTTTTTTTTTTAAATTTTTATTCGATAAGGCAGCAAGGATTTTTTTTTTACCTTCACTCGCTTTAGAAATAGCTTGCAAACTAATACTTGCACCACCTGCACTTTCGCCAAAAATTGTAACTCTTTTTGAATCTCCTCCAAATGATTTGATATTTGCCTGAATCCATTTTAATGCTAAAACTTGATCTTTCATTCCAAAATTTCCTGGCGCTACAGAATCGCCCGTTGATAAGAAACCCAATATTCCTAAACGATAATTTATTGTCACGAGAATTATATTTTTATCCAAGAGAAAATTAGCGCCATATAGACTTCCGCTTCCGCTCGTGAAACTTCCCCCATGAATCCAAACCATAACTGGTAATAGTGATGTTGTGTTCAACTAAAAATTATTTTTTAATTTGTAAAAAAATCAGCAAAAATTATTGATTAAAATTTTTTAATATAAAAATTTTTTACAGTTGTAGAATTAAATTCTAGAAGTGGAGTGTAGACATTTAAAAATAGACAATCTTCATCTCCAATTATATTTCCTTGATCTAGTTGAGGGCAAACATTTCCAAAAGAATCTGCCTGTCTTATCTCGTCCCAACTGTCTGCTGGTTCAGGATTTTTGAATCTAACATACAATTTTTTTTTTAAATTTACCATGATACAATTTTATTAAATTATAGTTTTATTGATCTATAGATCAGTGATTTATGGATCTATAGGTCATAGATCTATGATGACAAAACAATTATCTATATCTGGTAATTTAAATAATGTATGGATCAATGATATATTAATCAAAATCAAAATTTTTTTAATCAAAAAAGATCATTAAATGATCTAAGAATCAATAATTTACAAATTTAAGTGATCTATAGATCAATGATTTATTGGCAAATGAATCGAGGTAACCTAAATGTAAGCATCAATGATCTATGGATCTATTGATTAAGGATATATCGATCAATGACCTACAGATCATATATTAATTACTGATTTATGCATCTCTTCTTTGTGGGAATATTTATTTTAATTTTGAGAAAAATGGTGAATAAAAAGTAAAATTAATTTTTTTTCTTACTTATTCAAAAAATATTTTTACCTAAGACTGCCAACTGGTGGTTTGGCATATGGTATTCCAAGAAAAGCTGCGTATTGTCTTCCATATCTCGAAGTTTCCAAAGTACCATCTAAAATTCCTTGTGAAATTTCCACTGTAGGTTTTGCTCTGACGTATACAAAATGTAAAATTAGGAAAAACAAGATATTCATTACAATTTTTTTTTTTTTTTTTTTTTTTTTTTTTTTTTTTTTGTATTAATCAGTAAAGTAGGAAAACTCGATTAAGTTTATTTTCTTATACGATCGTTCTTTTATATCTACTAACACTTGAAACTTTTTGAAAACAAATAGATTTAAATTATTTATACAACTTTTTTTTTAATTATTTACAAAACTTGTTTATTTATTTTATAAAAAAATAGAATATTTGCTGAAAGAAAATTTTTAAATCAGAAATAATTTAAAGAAATCGTCAAATGTAAATTGAATATACAAAATGACAGATTTCTTTTTTAAAACAAGATTTTTCTTTTTGTTAATAATAAGGAAAAAGTTTTGTTATTTTTAACAATATTGATTCGCAATTTTTTTTATTTCCATGTCCCTCCCTCTCTGCTTTAAAATCAAAACAGATGTAGAAAATTTATCCTGTAAAATGTTTTTAGATTTATGTAAATTTTTTTGTTTTTCATATTGAATTCAAATATAAGTCGATTATTGAAAACAAAAAAAAATTAAAATAATTTTTTTTGAAATTTTGTTTTAATTAACGCTATTTAAATTTGAAATTACTGTTGGAAATTCTATTTTGACGACAGTCGATCAGAATTTTTTTTTTTTTTTTTATTTTTAATTTCGCGCTAATATGGAAAAAGTGTTCTTCTCGACCAACTGGGAATTGATTTTTCAATTAGGAAGCATGCGCACAAAAATTTGTGTTCTGCGACTGCTCCTGAAAAGGACGACTGTTGTGTCCTGCACGACAAAAATTTAGGGAAAACAAAGCGACAGCTACAGCCATGGCATAAAGTTCTGTATTTTTTGTAACATTATATATTTCAAATTACAAAATAAAAGGATTCAAAAATGTCTCCAGGTTTTGGACATGATCCACTTCCAACATATAATTTCACAACATTGGGTATGTAGTGTGAAAAATAGAGAAAATTTCTTTGTTTCTTTGTTCATAACTTTTTTTTGAGAAAAATATAAAATTGTAAAAATAAATTATAAAGTAATTTGTTTTTTTTTTAAAGTAATTAAACATATTAAATAAAATTCATTTCAGTAATAAATATTGTAAAATAATAACATTTATACTGGGCACCAATTTTTAATTAAATTGAAAAAAAATTTTTCATAAAATATTGCTCTATAATTATCTTTATAATCTTATAATTTTACCTAATTTACAGGAAATACAGCTTTATGCCTTTGGCAACAGCCGCAACACTTTCTATTTCAACTAGCAAATCTATGTTTTGTTTTATCTTATTCGGCACCATCTTCGAAAAAAGGCATACTTTTTATGCATTCAATTCTCATAATAGGTATGCATTCAAAAATGTTGAATTATTTCTATTGTAATAATTTTTTTCTCATTGTTTTTTTTTTTCCTCGACAATTTTTGACAATCATATTTCTCTAGGATTCATGTTACTATCTGGTTGGGCATGGCACGTGATTTGTGCACCTGATATTTTTTCCTGGAATTTTAGTTTTCTTGTTTTAAATATTTGTCAACTTGTTTATATTGTTTATCAAATGCGACCAGTCAGATTTGATCCTGAACTTGAGGAAGTTTACCACACTCTATTTTATCCTTTCAAGGTAAAACTAAACAAGTTTTGTTTAAAAAAAAAAATCTACTTTTTCTTTTAAAAAATATTCAACATTTTATTGAAGAATTTTATTTAAATTTCCATTTCGTTTCGTTTTTGTTTTGAAGATTAGTTTCTTAAAGAATTATAAATAAATGTAAAATAACTTTTAGGTGACTCGTTTGCAATTTAAAAGATTGGTCTGTTCGGAATTTGCAACAATAATGTCACTTCATGCAGGCGAGGCGTATGCTATGCAAAATTTAACAAAAACAGATAGACTTGGTCTTTTATTAAGTGGAAAAGTCAATGTTCTTAGTGAATCGAATTTTTTACATCCAATTTTACCATGTGAATTTCTTGACTCGCCAGAATTTGAAAGTTCTCGTGCTTCAGTCGACGATAAATTCAAGGTAAAAATCTCTGTTTTTTTTAATAGGAAATTTTTTAATTTTTGTTTTCTGAAACAATTGTTTTTTTTTTGTATAATGTGGTATTGTTAGGTATCTATTGTGGCAGCGAGTTCCTGTAGATATTTGTATTGGCAAAGAACGGCTTTGGAATATTTACTTGTCAAAGAAACATATTTGGCAACAATATTAACAACATTAATTGCGAGAGATATCGCTACAAAATTGTATGCTATGAATAATAAGGTAAATTGAAAGGAATTGCGTTTTTTTTTGAAAGAAAAATATAGTTGTTAATATCAGGATTGTAATTTGACTATCTTACGTTTTAGATTATCACTGATAAAGGCTCTCATTTAGATATAAGATTACCAACTATTAGTGCTGGTTTAGGTATTTCTGGCGAATACAGAAGTCCAAAAACTTCAAGGCAAGCTCTAATTCGTCGAAGGGAATCGCAATTAGCATCAAATAATGGTACAAAAATAGATTTGTTGTCTTTCACAATTTTTTTTTGTCTAAATCATTATAATATGAAGAAAATTTTATTTTAAGATATATTTAAAGTTTAGTGGTCATGGTAACCGTTACTATGGCAATAGTTGCTATGGAAATCAATACTATGGCAACCGTTACTATGGAAACTATTACCATAGCAACCGTTGCTATGGAAACCGGTACTATGGGAACTGTTGCTATGGAAATCATTGCCATGGCAACCGTTACTATGGAAACTATTACCATAACAGTTGCCATAGTACCAGTTTCCACAGCAACAATTGAAAATTTATCATCTTAAATTTTTTTTCTTCCCTTAAAATAAGATTGTCTCTTTTTATTGCGATGTGTTTAAACAAAAAAAAAATTGTCTTTCTTAAAAATGAGAATACATTTTTTAAAAATACTTTTTCCAGCTGGTGCAAAGCCAAAAGAAAGATCAATTAATAACATGACAAAATTAGGTGCTCCAAATATGGAACCATTGCCAGAATTGCCTTCGTTTGACGATTTGGCTTCAAGTGGCGTTGAAAGTTGGTTAGATTCTTCGAGCAAATATCACAGCTGTGAAATTGTCGATGAAGAATAAAAATTTAGGATGAAAAACAAAAGATTTTATTGTTATATAATGTTATTAAAAGTGCAAAGTTATTTAAAACAAAAAAAAAACCCTGAGTGATATTGATAAAAGACAGGAAGCTGTTGCGATGTTTTCGACCAAAATGATGCTAAGCCTATTTTAATATTAAAAGAAAAATATTGGACTGAAATTTTCTGAAAAATTCGAATGAGCTTTTTACAATGTGTAGTTTCAATAAAGAAAGGTGAAAAATCATTGTAGTTTCATTTTTTGTAAAATCAATTTTCAGTTGGTCGACTTTCTGAATCTAAATTCATAAAGTGAAATTGATTTTCAGTTCTACAAAATTTTTACGATTTTAAGTTTATGTTGAACTTTTCTTTTGAATAAAAACAAAGTGAAATTTTAATTGAATCTAATTTTTAATTTCATTTAAGAAATGTGAATTCGTAGTTGCAGGATAAAATATGAAAAGTTTTCAAGAGATGTAAAAAAAAAATGTGTCCAAACTATTAGCCAGTGATGAAAATACATTAACTTTATAGTATGACATTCAGTCTAACAGTTATCACATTAGCTTAATGTTTTGTGGGAGTGCCAATCACATTATTGCTATAATAAAAAGTAACATTTCTAGTGTGAAAACTATTACACAAGTTGAATAAAACACGGAATCATTAAAAATATATTATCTACTTAAATTTAAATTATTTATTGTACAGAAATTATAATTAATGAAATTTTTTCACACCTTTGTTCTTATAATTTGAATTACTACTTTTTATTCCTATCTATATTTGTCACGAAGTTGTACTCTGAAGTTTCTAAGTCTTCATAATACTGACAAAAAAGTTTTATGAAACTCAATTATAAGCTGTTCTTCTAAAAAAGAAAAAAAAGGAACATTTAAACTTGAGCAACTTATTTTAAAAATAACAATCATGGGAAATGAAGTAGGTTAAAATGTCTATAATAAAAAAAAAAAAAGAAAAAAAAATGAGTTATAAAATTATACGTCGTGGTAATGGTTAATTTGCTGCAAAAATATTTTCTCAATACCTTGTGTGAATTCCACACGTTCAATAAAATGGATTTTAATAATTCCGGTTTTTCTTTTTTCTTCATTTTCTTTTTATTATTATATTCTCTCTCTCGTCTCTCATATCCTTGATAAATTCTTCCATAAAAATTCTTTGTTCATGTTTGATGTTATTATTAACAGGGACGACTCTTTTTTTTCCCTCCTCTTTGCCGCGACTTATATATATATCGATATTTTAAAATGTTCTTTTTTTTATAGACGTTGTTTCACCCTTGCTTGTTCTCAGCTATATAGTTAGTATCTTTTTTCTAATAGGGCAATGAATTAAGAATCTAGGAGATAAATATCCGGGCAACTCTTATATATATAAACCACTATATATTTTCCTGTGCGCTGTTTACTTGAGATGAACTTTAAAAGTGAACGATAAAATTTTGGTCACGCAAACAAACATTAGAAGCTTTTAAATATAACGAATTACTTAATTTAAGAATTGATCTATATATAAACAAGGAAAAATTTTTTTTGCTAGAAACAAAGAAATTGAAAATAAATTTGTTTTTTTTTATTAAAAATTGTTTTAAACAAAATTTTTATTTTCAATATCTTTGTATAAAATGTATAAAATTAAAAGAATTGAATTTAAATTGTACGCAATATAATTTGTATGTGTCTTTAATATTGTCCAATGATCATTTATACTACACGAATGATGCATAAATGTGTCAGGAGATAACTACATACGCCTGACACATACATATGTGGCTATCAAACCCTTGAGGGTTAATACTGTCCATTTCCATAACCGTATTATGTAACTTAACCTGATTCATTTAAAATGTCATAACTTAATGGAAATTACTATTATATTAACAGCCAAACATAATTTCATAAAATTAATCACTATCGTACAGATGAAATATTTTAGTGCAATTCAATACAGAAATAATTTAACATAATGACAAATGCATTTCAATAAATAATAACAAACAATATAAACAATAGTGGTGATAATAATAAAATTAATTTCAAAATCAACAAAAATTATTTTCATGATAATAATAATGATGATGATGATGATGATTAATGATGATAACAGCACACATAACTGGGGAAATGTAAACTAGATCACTAGCGTAAATGTAAATGATCCCTCGCGATTATTTTCAATCACTTACAATAACTATCAATGCAAAGTATTATTTTTTAAATGTTAAAAAAATAGGTAGCAGCTTCAATTAATAGTGATCTCAATTAATAGTAGTCTCAATTGTTCTTTCAATCATTAGTAGTCTCAACTAATAGTACTCTCAATAAATAATAATTTCAGTTTAAAATAGTATACATTAATAGTAGTTTCAACTACTATTGATTGAGACTACTATTGGTTGAGACTGCTATTAGTTGAGACTATTATTGGTTGAGACGACTATTAGTCTCAATCAATAGTAGTGTCAACTAATGGTAGTCTCAAGCAATAGTAGTCTCAACCAATAGTAGTGTCAACTAATAGTAGTCTCAACTAATGATAGTCTCAATCAATAGTAGTGTCAACCAATAGTAGTCTCAATCAATAGTAGTCTCAATCAATAGTAGTGTCAACTAATAGTAGTCTCAATTAATGGTAGTCTCAATCAATAGTAGTTCCAATTAATAGTAGCCTCAATGAATATTAGTCTCATCTAATAGTAGTATTAGTAAATAGTAGTCTCAATCAATAGTAGTGTCAACTAATAGTAGTCTCAATTAATAGTAGTGTCAACCAATATTAGTCTCAATCAATAGTAGTCTCAATCAATAGTAGTATCAACTAATAGTAGTCTCAATTAATGGTAGTCTCAACTAATAGTAGTCTCAATCAAATTAAAACTGAAATTAAATCCTTAGAAAAATTTGTAACTATTTTATTCTAAACTCGAAGGAACTTTGTGTTTGTTTTTATGAATAAGAATTTTTCTTCAATTTTTTGAACCCTTACCAGTCCTAATGAATTTTTACGAAGACTTTTCTTGTTTGTATTGAGAATTCCCTTATGTGCTTCTATAAAAAAAATAATATAAGGGTCGCACTATTCAAGTGAAAGGGGATGTTAAAATCGTGTGCTGCCACCTGCTCGGAGGGCGTGGCGCTAACTCAGAGCTTAGTCGAACGAAAGCTTCGGACCGGGAAGCTTCAGCTAACAAGCACTGCTTCTATATAAAGTTTTGAGAAAGTCTCGCGTGACTATTTCTCTCATCCCCCCCCTTTAACCACCCTCTTACCCTCTATTCCTCCATATCACCTTTGCAATAACACAGAATAAAATGATTCATCTTATTTTTGTTTGACATGAAATACCAAAAGAAAAAAAAAGAAAAACAAATGAATTAGTGATTTGAAGAAAATTTATAGTTTTTATGAGAAAAATGATAAGAGAGGTAGCCTCGGAGCTAACATATATATCCGAAGAGACTCACACAGAGAGAGAGAGAGAGAGTAAACAAAAGCTTAATCTGATCTTGACATGAATGGACCACAACATCAAATTGAACCCAGTGCCTTATCCCCCAAGAGTATATATATGATGACTAATCAGGATGTATTCAGTCAAATTCTCTGCGGGTTGGGAACCCCATTTTCACTGGTGTGATATAAATGTAAAGGTCAAGGAAAAGGATATATAATTTTTTTTCTTCTTTTTTTTCTTACCAAATTAGTAACCATGACGCTTATTGTAGGATGTAAACAGAGAACAGTTCGTGGGATGAAAGCGAGCGCCACAATCAGACTTTTCAGGTTCGCTGCCCTTGATATAGTGTCAGTTATAAATGAAAAGCTTTCCATTTCGAACTCTTGGCTTTTAGGAAAGTCGAAGAAAATGTGAAATAAAAAACAAAACTAAAAAGAAAATGATTTTCTTGCTGTCAGTGTAGTTTGAAATGAGATTAAACTTATGTTTAATTGTGTGGCCTCGAGTATTTATTTATTTATTTTTTTTTTGTGTAAAATAATGTTTTAATCAACGATGGAGATTACGATATTTCTGAAGGGGTTCGAGAGGGTTGTCACGTGACACGTAGTAGGTGTAGCAACATCTGATGGTGGGGGGGATGCAGTGCGATGTCTATTAAAAGTAGTCTTAGCGTTTTCAGGTGAGAGAACGTGTCCTGACGTTACAGGTCTTCATTGAAATAATTAGATTCGATGTATTTCATATTGAGACAAAAGTTTTATTTAAATTTTTATTGCACTAAAAATCTATCATTTTAATAAATTTACTATTTACTTTTTAATTTGATTTTTCCAAGTTTTCGGAGAAGTGTCGAGAAAAGGAAATTTCATTTTTATTCTTTCTGGTGGATTTTCAATTCATGTTCACTCTGATAGAGTTAAATTCACTCCGCATTGAGTAAATTTACTCTGATGGAGTAAAATTTACTTAAAGTTAACTAAAATTTACTCTAATAGAGTTTAATTCACTCCAAATTAGATTAAATTTTCTTTGGTGAAGTGTAATTCAATTCAAGTTAAATAAACTTTACTCAGAGTAAAATTCACTCCAAGTTAAGTAAATTTTACTCAAACGGAATGAAATTCACTCTAAGTTAAATAAACTTGAGTTAAATTTACTCCAAATTAAGTAAACTTTACTCAAACAGAGTTAAATTCACTAAAAGCTTACTCAGCTTTACTCTAATGGAGTGAAATTTGCTCCAAGTTGAATTTTTTTCTAAATTTGTAATGAATGTTTTTATTTTTTTGGTGCACAGTATTAAAATTATCAAATTAGCATTTATATTAGTGGTTTTTAGTCTTTTGTTTTTAACCTATTTTAAATTTATAGATTTTTTTTTTATTATTTGTTATAGAATCAGTTGTTTTTCTAATAACTCTTTAAAGAAGTATATTTAAGCAGAGATAGCCTTGAGAGACAAAGAATTGTTTATGAAGTATACAAACGTATTTATTTAAGAGAACTTTAAAAATTCTTAACTGTTAAAAATATTTTTTAAAATATTGTTCTTTTATGTTTGTTTATTGATAAAATTAATAAATGACATAAAAAAAAATTCGGTATAAATTAAAAAAGTTCGTGTAAAAAATTTTTTTTTTTAAATTGCGGTTGTGAAAACTACTTTGTGTAATCTCTGAAGCGTGAAAAACATTTTGCTGTTGCAGAAACTTGTTCAAGAAAACGTTAAAATGTAATTTCATCTCAGGAACGTAATTCTAACTCAATTCAAAAGTTTATTTTAATTGGATTTAATTAAACTTGTAACATGTTTTAAAATTCCTACTCAAATATTATCTAATTTTGAAAATAAATATTAATTTTGTTAGTTTATTGTTAAAGTTGTCTTTTAAATATATATATATATATAGATATATTGAATCATTAAAATGAAGTATTTGAACAAAATTACAGTAGCGGCAATATTCAAAAGATAAATTTTTATTCAATATTGGCTTTCTATTAAAGGCTGCGCGCAATTTCGATCCTTCTCTATATTTTAACATCAGTGACAAGTAGGAAATTTAATTTCAAGCGTGTCAGTATAAAATCTTTCCTCTTTTTTTTTTTTTTTTTTGTTTTATTTCGTTGTCAGAGAAAATATACTGAAGATATATTTTGGTTTTATTCCATTTTTTTCATAAATTTAATTAACTACTACATATAACTAACTAATGTTAGAAGACTTTTATTTTTTTTTTTTTTTAAAAAGCATAGCCAACTTTTTATGTAAAGAACTTTTTTCACTTCTATTGAAAAAATTAAAATTTATTTGTTATTTTTTTAGTGAAAAAAAATACAAATTTTTTCTCTATTTCACGAAAGTTAAAAAAAGCAAACTTGCACAAAAGTTAAAACGAACCCGATTGTAGGGAATAAATTATCTTCTTTTATTTCAACATTTGAACCTCGGGTACGATTACTTTTATCTTTTAACGAGCTTTAGTTTAAAACTGACAAATTCCAAGTTACTACAGTGCAACCTTTGTTTTGCAAGCTTCCTACTATTTTGTCCCTAAAGTCGTGAGTTATAATTACAATCCTATTTGAGCAACCATCAACACCATGAAAAACATAGTAACTTGCTCTCTAATTTTCTACAACAAGTATATTTCTCATGTTGAGAATGAATTTTAATCAACAGAGAAAAAAAAATTCTCCCTTGTAACACAATTTGTGTCAATTAAATGAAAGTACAAGTAAATTACAAAAACAAAAAAAGAAATACAATTTTTTCGTTAATAGTTGTCGCCAATTAAAAAAAAGTATAATTGTAGTGTTCATTTATAGTAGTGACAATTAGTTTTCTCAATTATTAATAATTGTCTCAATCATTAGTAGTACCAGTTAACAGTAATGTTAATAAATCGTGGTATCAACTAATAGTAGTCTCAAATAATAGAAGTCTAAATCAATATTAGTGCCAATTAATAGTAGCCTCAATAAATATTAGTCTCATCTAATAGTAGTATTAGTCAATAGAAGTCTTAATAAATATTAGTCTCAATCAATAGTAGTGTCAACTAATAGTAGTCACAACCAATAGTAGTGTCAACTAATAGTAGTCTCAACCAATAGTAGTGTCAACTAATAGTAGTCTCAACCAATAGTAGTGTCAACTAATAGTAGTCTCAACTAATGGTAGTCTCAATTAATAGTAGTGTCAATCAATAGTGGTCTCAATCAATAGTAGTGTCAACTAATAGTAGTATCAGTGAATAAAAGACTCAAACAATAGTAGTCTCAACTAATAGCAGTCTCAGTCAATAATAGCCTCAACTATTAGTACTCTTAACTATTTGTACTCTCAACTATTAGTAGTCTCAACTACTAGTACTCTTAACTAATAGTACTCTCAACTATTAGTAGTCTCAACAATTAGTTTTCTCAATTATTAATAATTGTCTCAATCATTAGTAGTACTAGTTAACAGTGATGTTAATAAATAGTGGTATCAACTAATAGTGGTCTCAAATAATAGTAGTCTCAATAAATAGTAGTCTCAGTCAATGGTAGTGCCAATTAATAGTGGTCTCAAATAATAGTAGTCTCAATCAATAGTAGTTCCAATTAATAGTAGCCTCAATGAATATTAGTCTCATCTAATAGTAGTATTAGTAAATAGAAGTCTTAATAAATATTAGTCTCAATTAATAGTAGTCTCAATCAATAGTAATCTCAATCAATAGTAGTGTCAACTAATAGTATTAGTGAATAGAAGAATCAAACAATAGTAGTCTCAATAAATATTAGTCTCAACTAATAGTATTCTCAGTCAATAATAGCTTCAACTATTAGTACTCTTAACTATTTGTACTCTCAACTATTAGTACTTTCAACTATTAACAGTTTCAATTAATAGTAGTTTTAATTTGTGTTATTTCTAAAATGTGTTCTAAAAACTTTTTTATTGCTGTTTATTTTATTTCCAACTTATTTTAATTTCGATGTTTTTTTTGGTTTTGTTACAGGTGTTGCGGTAAGTGGAGTTAAAAATCAATGACATTCGTGTAAATATTTTTTCTCTTATTGCAATGCGAATAGTGCGGTTCACTAATTATTCAACGAAAGTTCGCGATTGAAATTTATTAATATAAATAGTATCAAAAGCGCTGTACATTTGTATATTCGTGTAAAAAAGAAATTTGCCTATTAATTAAGTCAATTTCAATGATTTACAAGAAGTGGTGATTTTTTTTTTTTTGTGAACACGCATTGGAACCAAGTTCAGCGTCTTTACAATTTACACAGAAGACTGAGATGTATTTAATATTCCAAGCAACATATCGCTCAACAGACATAAGGTACATTTACATATACATTTTTTTCATTCAATTTTTTATTTATTTATTACAAATTTAATAATGAATTGATTTATTATTTTTATACATTTAAAAAAATGTATGAGTAAGCAAAGAATTTATCAATTTAATAAGAAAATTGTTAGAGAATAAATTATATATATATATATATATTTTTTTTTGGAAAAATATATTTTTCTATTTAGAATTGAAGGCTTGGTATCGATTAGGTATCACTTGTATAAAGTGAGGGTTCACAGTTCAGGAATATTTCCACATAAATGACAACACTCAGTAAATATGTGTCACGTCGTGGTTGAGGGCAGTTTCCTTTAAAATTTATGAGCGTATTTATGCATGTGTGCGTTATAGTGTCATTTCAAGAATATAGAAGGCGATAAAATAACTTGATACGATTGCGAATTGAAGTAGGAAGTGATATTGATTTTCGATGATTCCATAAAATATCTCAATCTAACCCAGATTAATGATACACTTCAAGATTTATTCCAAGAATTTCAAAGACGAAACTATCTTCATTTATCATTTATTGTATAATTTATTTCTCTTCAATTATCAATAAATGTTTATTTATTGAATTAATAAACATAATTTTCATTCTACTTTCTCTTTATTAATAAACAATTTTTTTTTAAATCAGTTTATTAAAATGATTTTTTCAAATAAATTAAAAAAAAAAATTATATATCCATGAAATTATCATAAACGACTATTTGTTTTATTGCTTTGTTATTTGGGTCATAAAATCATATCATGCAAAAAAGTTTAATCGTCTCTTAGAATCTTTCTAAAGTGACTTTACCTGTTGCTTTTTATTCTTTGAAATGTTATCAAAATTCATAAATTTTTTTGACACTCCTTTTGTTATCAGATATTTTTGCTACATTTTAAATTGATGTTCTCTCATTAAATTTTATTTACTTTTAATTGGATGTTTAAATGAAACATAATTGAATTTAGACAAATGATTTTAAAAGTTCATTTTTAAAAACGATTTTTGAAAATAGAATTTAACATTTCTTTTTACTATTTTTTATTGTTATGAACATTTGTTTAATAGTTTAAAACAAAATGAAATGTAAATTAAATATTAAATTTTTTTATTTATTTAAGTAAATAATTGTATAAATTAATTATTAAAATTAAATTATGAGTATCTTGGTCATTGAATATGAAGTAAATTTACAAATTTCTATAATTTACATTTAATATTCAAGAAATTTTTAGGAGAAAAATTTGGTGTTGAGGAAACAAAAAAAGGGGTGGGGGGGTTTGAATTAATCCATTTAGAAAAAACATGGTCAGGTGAAAGGGGAACATTTGGAATAAATTTTAACTCACAATAATTGAACACGCAATCATTTGTAATGTATTCTTTCTCGTTTATCATTTCTTCCAAATGTGTCTTTTGACATTAGCGCGAGAGTTGCCCTATAAATGTTATAACTTGAACTTCTAGACTTATTGATTTCTCAAAATGAAAAATTAATCATACTTGTGAATATAATAATGATATTTGTGAAAATAGACCACCTTAATAATTTTGACAATTTTTTTTTTTTTTTCATAATATTTTTTTATACAAAATTTTAAATAAGAAAAATTCTCATTTGTTAAATAATTTGGACAATAATGTTTTTTTGTTTGTTTTCTTTAAATAAAATCAGTTTCCAAAAAAAAAACAATTCTTCTGCCCTTTTATCACTGGCAAATTGTATATATAGTAGAAAGTTGTAGATCTCCGTTTGCATCGAAGCGACGCACCATTTAACTCGTGCAAAAGTAGAAACGTAATTGGAATACGCTTTCATGCGGGAATGTTTCTTCGAGAGGAAAATTATCCAACTTTGTAGCTTTATCTTTTTCACTGATTTCATGATTTTATGATTCAGTTAAAATTGTACAACGCAGGGAAAAAATATATCATATCGTAAAAAAAAGGTTATGAAAGTTTTTGATAGAAGGAAAGGGGAATTAGGAGGTCATGATAATCATTTTGATCAAGCAAATCATCATGATATGGTCACAAATTGCATAGTTACAACATAGATGTAATTGTTATTATTCTTTCTAGTGTCAAAAATGTACTATTTTATTCTCCCTAGGTAAAAAAAAAACTAGTTTTTGGGATCATAGAAAATTAGATATATTTTTTAAATCGCGAAATACATTTTTTATGTGGAAAATGTCAACACTTCTTTACGCTTAATGAAAGGAAAAAAGTTGAAACTTATCTTGAAAGTAACTTTGATGTTGAAAGTAACGCGATTTATAAACTTTCAAATGCATTCCTTATTAACGAACTTTAGGGGGGATTTTACGTGATAGTATATTTATGTCTGACTAAAAAGTTCTCTATCTACTTAAGTAGAAACGCCGCTAGTTTGTCGAACTTTATTATATATATATATATACAAAATGTTACTAATGCACATTTCTATCAATAATATTTTTTATTTGTTATAAATTATTTTCTAAAATTATTTAAATTAAAAATAACAATTTTTTTTTAAATCGTGTTTTTCAAATAAACCAAAGCGAAAAAGGCAAGCGCATATAAAATTTAAAGTTTAAATTGGAATAAACGATGAATCGTATAAATTTGAATTTCCGAAACTCTTGTATTGTATAAACTATAAAATTCTTGTACTGGTATTTTCTATACAACACTTTTCAACTATTTTTTTTTTTTACGATCGTTATATATGAAAAATATTCCACAAATGCGAGTTTTTTTTCCATTAAAAAGTTTTATACATGTAAAACATTAAATTTAAAACATACATAATATTATATATTAAATTTTATTATTTCTTCATTACTTTATTATTATAATATTGCAAATTAAGATCCAATATTACGATATAAAAAAAATAAAATAAGTTTAAATAAAATATTACATTTAATTAAAATATTCATTAAAAAAATTTATTTTATATAATAATCAAGTATCAATAAAATGGTTTTCTAAATTAGAAATTAATAGAATATTGTAAACATTTAAAATTTGTTTTGACATATAGATTTTTATGTAAAGAATATATAGTATTATGTACCAATATATATATACATATATTTTTTACGAAATGGATCGATTGACCTATTTTAATACAACACTATGACAAACTATGTAGTTTTTTTTATATATATATGTATATCTATATATTTTTAGAAAAAAAATTTTAGATTTAGAAAACTTTTTATTGGAAATATTGTAACTCCATACACGTATAAATATCAAAGTGGAATCTAAAACTACTGTTCTATATATTTTCCCAAAAAAAAAAAAAAAAAAAATGCTAGTAAATTTTTCTTTCACATATAATAAGATAGAGTAGCAATTATAGGGGTGAAAAATAATCTGCCTTATCTAAAAAGAGACCAGCTATTTGTTGTATATTATATATGATAAAAATCAAATTGGTATTATATTTTAGTTTCTTATTTCATACGATGAAAAAATCATCTACAATAAGATGAATTTAATTTATAAATAATATTTAAAAAGATATAATTTTTCTATTTTTAATTTCAAAAATTGTTTAAATCAATTTGTAGTTTTTTTTATATTACCATACATTTTTTGTTCGCAATTCCCGGATTAAGACTTTGGTGGTATTTCGGAGGTGAAAATTTTTTCAAAAATACAAAATTTTTATCACTCTAGCTCAAAATTCGTTGGTACAATAAAAAAATGGCCCATACAGTTGTTTAGAACTTTCTGGATTTGATTTTCTGTGGTATTTTTAAAATTCTTCTATAACATTGAAAGAAGGATATCGTTTTTTCAAAGGAGAAATCAGCTTATTGTTTGAAATAAATTTTATTTTAAGTAAAATTTGGTTTCAAAATGAAGATTTTAGTATATGGATGTTTTGCCCAGAGGCATTGCTCGTATCACTTTCATATGATGAAATCCGCAGCCACAAGGTTTATAGCTGGCATAAGAGAAGGTGATACGGGACAGACCGCGTGGTTCCAAGTCTGGATGGGAGAGATAGGGTCGATAGCCTTGCCTCGTAGAGCGCTCGCGCCATCCATACAACACCCCCCATACAACCATAACTAAAAGCGTAAATTCATCCCCATAGACCATCTCCACAGTTACATTATTATACTTGCGTCTTATTCTCCTCTCGTGTTTACTCTTTATACCCCTTTTTACACTTTATTTCTTCTTTTCAATTTAAATTTTTCCTCATTTTTTTTTTGTTTGTTTTTTTTTTTTTTGTATATTTTGCATTCATTTTGATTATATCCGTATTTATCCTCTTTTTTTGTTACATGTTTCTATCGTTTTTTTTTCTAATTCTATTTTCTGTTTTTTATTTATTGCCTTTAATTTTGCTTCAATGGAATTTTCAAATTCACCCACGATATCTAATTAATCGAATTTCCATTTAATCGATTTTCTCTCCATTTTCTTCATTTTTTTTTTCGTTCTCCCGCTTATTTTCGCTCTATTTTCTTTAGTTTTTTTGCATCCCATCTATTTTCATATATGCCAACCGAAAATCTGCATAAACTTCCCTTGCAAAGTGATAAAAAATGTCATTTTCACAATACAGAAAATTCCTTTCTTTTTCATTTGTATAAAAGTCAATTATCCATTGTTCTGAAAAAAGTTTCTTTTGTTCAATTAGAGAAATGTTTCAAAAGACACTAAAAAAAAATCATTTAAAAAAATATATCGTTTATTTTTATTCCCAAAATGCATATTTTATTATATGGTGAAAAAAAAGTTTATATATAGGAAAAAACATGTTTTTAAAAAAAGAGTGGAAATATTTGAAATCCTTTCTATATATTGAAAAGGCAGAAAATACGGTTACAAAGAAACGGAAACTTTTGTCGTTTGTGAACGCAAGTTCTAGATTTGATAGAACTTTCGTTTGGTTTTTTTTCAGTATATATATTTATAAATGGAACAATTTTGATGATGTCACGCTAGGAGTATATATAAGGGACAAAAGAATATGCTC